TGACATGGCATTGAATAAATAAATAATCAGTAAAAAAGTTTCCAGTTAAAATAATTTTAAGTTACTATTCTTAATAATTAATTGTAATTATAATTTTTAATTTATTTAATTTTTATTACTGCTTCTTATGGATTCTTTTCAGCTGTAGTCCACAATACTAGGAGAAAAGTATTATGACTGTTAAACCAAGAGTCCACCTACCCAAAGAGTCCTCTATCCAGTATTAGTACACTCCTTAGGCTCAGGATGACACACCCTCTAGAGACCACAATATTCTTGGCAACAGCAATACCATTGACAGAAAGTAAAAAAGGATGGATTTTACAGCAAGTAGAACAGCACAAATGTTTCTGTGTGGAATCACTCGGTATCACTCAGGTGCTTCAGCGAGTTCTCTCAGTGCTGACACCCCCATGTGCTGGTTCTACAGAACTCCAGTCAGTTCTACAGATTTCTACACACTGCACTTCCCTCATGAGCAGAACAGCGAGGCTCCAACGCATTCAGAGGCACTTACCTCACCACTAGCCTCAGCAACACTTAGAACCCACATGCAAGAAGAAGAAAACTAAAATACTTTTCCTTGACATCCACAGGAGAACCATGAGTCCATGTTTTCTTTACACGGCACTGTAAAGTCAGCAAAACTGGTGAATTTCCAAATGCATGACATCCCACTTTCACTTTTGCACTGATACAAAACAGAAGAACATTTCATGGAGGTCCTATCCCTTTTTTCCCCCCAGATACCTGTGTTTCTACATTAGACATAAGCAGGTCTTGTTTCTTTGCAGAAATGATGTTTGGGATTAATGGGAAGCCAGTGTTTTAAATCAACATAGATAACATAAAATTGAGTAAGATGTGAAGCCAATTTTTCAAACAGACTATAAGGGAATGCTTTGTATGAAGTTCTTAATAACAAAAACATTGCCTTTGATAATCAAATTCCAACTTCACTGTCACACTGAAAAAATAACAAACCTGTATGGGAGATGACATCTGCAAAGTTTTGTATTTACCCTAACACAGGCTGGCTATTTTAAGAAAAAGAACAGAAAAAGTGAAAGTTCTGGCTATTCTGTGCAGGGAATTACCAGGTAACTTGCAGAACCATATTCCACATGCTCTAAATGAAGAAGAATGTTCCCAATTCAAATAATTTTTACAATCTCTTACCTAAAACTCCCAAAAGTTGGTAACAGAAAAATTTCATCATTATCTCTCAATTTAATTCAGAAGTAACATGTTTTCAGAGCTCAAGCTGAGAAAATTTCAGCACAAAAACCTCTAAAGACTACTTTGGACCTGTGTTTAAAATGTTATGGTTAGAAAAAAAAATACAGTTTTTGAAACCTACATTCCTTGTTTCCATTTAATATGTCTTGATTGCCAAAAAATTCAATATAATCTTGTTCTTTATTTAAACCCAACCTCAGAATTAATTTGCAGACTAGTCCAATTCTAACGTGCCAAATGAGAATTCCAGTTAGCCCTTGCTGAACCAGGTATCAAATTATTTAACTGACCCATGCAGATTATCCCAAGCCCAACGTGCCATAGTAATTCAGTGACATGGCAAATATCTCAAATAACTGGGAAACAGTTATTTGAGACATCTGAATACAAAAGAACTCAAACATATTTTGGGGAGGGACACACATGTAGTGGTGTACATGTTTCAAGTGTTTACTAAAGCTTAGTTTCTTTTGAAATACATAACAAAAGTGGACTAATTGTTTTCATGACATAATTTCCCTTCTTCCAAGGAAGAATTCCGAATTATGGAACTTGCAGTCATGTCAAGGAAAATTGACGCTGACAATTGAACTCCAAAAAAGCTTTAGCAATCACACTGCATTAGACATGAAAACCAAAAATTAAATAATATGATAGACTGAAGATTTAAATAAACCACAGAGACATATAAGGCTCAGTTAGCAAAGGCCAGATAATTTTAAGATGTTTTTCAAAAATAAGCTTATTATGGAGTGTATTTTTGCCATGAAATTACCCTAGGATAACAGGTTCAACAAAAAAGAACTTTCAATCAGCTAGTAAAATTCCTGATATGTGCCTATATCCTGCAGCAAAAGTGGTAAACACTTCACTCAAGGGTCAATGAACTAACATCTCTCTAGCTCAGGACATCTTTTTGATGAATGTGAAGCAGCTGGAATAAACAGATCAAGGGTAACAATTGTGATCCCATGGTAGACCCAGCTGCTGCAAAAACAAACCCAGGGGGAAAGAGCCGAAGATTTAAAAAACCTGCAATATAAACCCCTCTTACATCATACAATGCCATTGTTTCTGCTTCTTTTTAGAACACAGGACTCTCTGCAAACACTGGTCAAAAATGAATGTAGAGATTATTTTGTTAGAAGCAAACCCAGTTTATAAAACACTAAAAAAAATTCAAAGAATGGTTGTTTTATTTAGACAGTAATAGTTTTATCTTTAGCGACCTTTCGTACCTGCTACGAGAAAGTTATTTGAAAAATAAATGGAGACTCATACTATTCCTGTTAATACTTTATTAGTGTAATTTTTTAGCTTTCTATTGGACAGAACATAAATGCAAACTCCAAAAAAAATTCAGAGTCCTCTGCCATTCAGTAGAAGTGACCATGGCAGTCCATTTCATGTTCATTCTTTGTTACAGAAACGAGAGGAGGGGGAGGGGAGGGGAAAAGCATCAATAGAACAATTAGGCACACAGCTGACACTTACTGTACAATGATATGCACAAGTAATTTATAACAGCTCTATGAGTTTATGAGATGTGTTCTTCAGATTCTTCCCTTGTAATACATGAACTTTGCTCGAGAGCAAGGATCATTGAGAACAAAGGAATTAACAAAGGAGTAACAAGTAAGACTTTTAAAACAAGTCCTTAAATAAACTAAAGTAACAACAGAATGCAGAATTGTTCACCTGAGAAGACATTTTTAACCTAGACTTCAGAACATTAAAAATTCATTTATTTTACAGCTATTCAAATACACATGCATTAAATGAAAATATTGCACAAAATTAAAATTTAGATTGTGGAATTTATATAGTTTCATTTTGGTACACATTCTGGTAGCACTTAAAATTAACTGGTTTAGTTCTAGCAAACACCAGCAGCACAAGCTTGAGGATGAACCAAATGAAAAATTCAATTGCTTATTTTCTCTTAAAAATAATTAAGGCTAAAACAAGTGCATTTGTTGACAGTGGCACTATTTTCAGCAGCCAGTCACAGCACCTAAAGGCCAGAAGATACACTCAGACACTTAAGTGCTGTATATTAACATTCAGTTTTGGAGACTTCCTAGGATAATAGGCTGCATGGGTTGACAGCGTGGGTACTTCAAATTGTCGACAGGAAAACCTTTTAAAGAAAGATACATACAAACTTGCTTTAATAAAAAGTGCTCATTTCTGATGGTTCTTGCCAGCCAACAGGCACCACTGAATTAGGAAGCCACATTCTGTAATTAAATACAGAAGACAAAACTTCAATACATATATACGTATGCACACATGCCTATATAAATGTGTGTATAGGTATATGTAATAAATTCATTAAGTAAAACATCTAGTAAGTATGGTGTATTATGTTTAGTTCACATTCCTAGAGATATTATTTTATTTTTGTACAGAGATGTACCAGATAACTAAACAATAGAAAAAAGCCAAATTTTTATATTATCACTATCTTGATGAAATTTTTCATGGTACCTACAGATAAAAGGTTCCACAGATTTGACAAAACAGTATTTGAACTTCCCAGTTTCATACTGCTTAACAAATTCAGTGACTTAAAAGACAGAAATTATATTTGGTAGGATTAATGAGATATTTACTGTTTCACCAAGAACAACTGCTGAATGATCTTTCATCAGTCAGATATCAGTTATGCATGAGCACCCTGACAGAGGAAGATACAGGCATGTAAACAATAGGAGCTGGCTATGTTGATTACTTCACACTGAACTCAAGAATTTTGTTAAATTCAAAAGCATTTAACCATCACACTTCCACAGAACCTGCAGAGAGGAAGGGAGAGGGGTTCTTCTATATTTACCAAGTTGTCTTCCTAGGGATTACAAAATAAAGGGATTTAATTTACAGCATTTAGTTCTGCAATAAAGAAAAAAACAAGTGCACTTGAGCCCATGCATACTGTATGAGAATGTTAACAGTACAATATGATCATCATTAAGTAGTATGATAAAAGGCTACATTTCATTAATAGAGTCCATGAGAAAAATTATCTATATAGAAGTGTCAGTCAATTTAACGAGGTCCTTTGAGAGCCTTCTATCTTGTCTCAGAACGCTTTCATCAAAGGTCTATGTTTCTCTCTTGCATAAAAGGACCATTTGCTCCCATTAAGACACAAATTACAACAAGGATCCTTGGGATCCTTGATCCATAACTGTATTTTACCCTGTGTTTAGTGTTCAGAAAAAAAAAGGGACTCTAAAAGATTACCTTCTATTCACTCAAGATAGTGCTCAAACAGTCGGGGACTATGAAAAACAAAACACAAACTGAGATATGCTGTGGCCAAACAGGATTATTCAAATGTTACTGTATTTTTAATCGGACAGAACTTCTTCCATGAAACTAAACAGATGGATGTGGGGCCTTGATGTCAAATTTTTATTAAAATTTTACACTATGCAAAAAATAAAAAAATTATTTAAAAAAATATTGTAGTTTTATTTCCTTTTTATTTTCATATATACACTGAGATGCATTCAGAGATTTCCAAGTGTTTGCATATGACTAATGAAATCTTTTACCTGTGAGGAACCAAGTAATTCTAACATTTTTCCATATGAGGCTTACACACTAAAAGGTAAGGAATCTTTCAATTAAGTAGGACATAGTTCTTTCACATCCCAAAAATGCTCCAGATTTTAGTGGGGAGTTGTGTGTAAACTGTGTCTTAGTGCAACTTCCTCCTCTTCTAACACAATATCTATCCTCTTAGAAACATATACTCCTTTCCTTCTACAACTACCAACTTGGACTTATGTTCCAATAGACCAATTGAACATAAATATGATGCTCCTTCTCCACTGAAGTTACATGCAAAATGTATGCCAGGTGCTGTAAGAGCAGCATATGGCCTTTAAATGCTACAGAATAATCAGAATAAAGGGTTTGTTTCTACTGCACCTCTGCTTTTACTAAAACTCCCATTAGGTATAAGGTTAGTTTAATTTTCAAAATATGAAAGGTGATGCAAATGTGGCATAAAAGCCACTTACCTCCACTTTTTTTCAATAAATGTACTTTTACGATGGGGCTATAGCTATTCTCCCTGCTCCTACCAACCTGTTATTCCACAGACTGCTTTCCTGGTTAATTCAGCCTTTACAGGAATGTTAAGATAGCCCTACAGAGCCTCAACACTTGTAACGCCGAACAATTCCACCTGACTCTCACACATTGCACCATCTCCCAATGCCAAAACACCCTTTTCTTCAATTGTATCACCATAGTTGTGCTTTACTTGAACAGTCTGGCACTTTGCATTGCTGGCAAAACATCGACTCAGGAACGGAAGGGATCAGCATTCTGATATACTGGGCCAGTTTTCTTCCCAATGTTGCATGAAGACGCACCAAATCATTTAAGACACACAAACCATTCTGGTCGTGGTTGAACTACAAGTGAAGATGAGAAGATCCACAGGTCTTACAGATGCATTAATAATCTAATATGTGACACTAGAAGACTGGTGCAGAAATGATGGCATGTGAGTTTGAAGCCCCAGAGAATCTGCCCAAGTAATTAATCCTGGACAAACAAACACCAGCTTAATGGATTTGAAGTGTCACCTTTTCTGTAAAGAAGGCGCTTGAGTAGAGTGTAGTCTCTGCTTATATCTCTGCATTTGCTTTGACCTTGAATGCAGTTTGTGGAACAGCTCAGGGAACTTATTTTGTGGAAATAAGGTTTCTAGGAATCTCTCCAGAAACACATACACCATTCTCTTATTCAGCTGACTATGCTGGAACATTTCGAAGACCCGAAGAATGCCCTTCCGTGTAGTCTCAGCGCCTATGATGTGCTTCAGTTCATCTACAAAAACAGAAGTCACACAGAAGTTTAAGCTAAATTCTGCTTCCATGTTAACAGCAAACTTAAACTGAATATTCAGTCTTTCAAACCATGTAGTCTGAAATTTAAGGTAACAGTACCTCTGCACAACATTACTAAACTAAAAGTTCTCTTACAGAAGAAAGCATTTCTGAAAATGACTTCACTCTTACCCTATACATGTGGAAACCATGTTTGCAAGAAATCGTACTGGTTTGGAATATACCCACTTCAGCCACAACTTAATCCTCTAGAAACTTAATACTGGGACAGTTCCAAGAGAATTACTCGCAGTACACGTGAAAATGTCCAATGCTTTAATAATTAGAAACCTTTTTATTTAAATACAGTTCATATATCAAGGTTTCTTTACAGTACTTAAAACAACCAACAAGAATACTGACATTAATTTCAGTAACAATATATCGTATGGATCATTAGGCTTTAATCCCAGAGTCACTTACCTGGCATTACCTCCAGCAATTTGGTTTTCCCTGCCACTCTTGTTCTCATTCTAATAGCTTTGTCCCTTCGTGGAACAGTTTCTGCTAAAATGCCATTGGGCCAAAAAGCGTCTCTGTAATAAAAGCAAATCTGTCAAAATACATTAACATTTTATCAAGCGAAAAGCTCTTTTAAATCTCTCAAGGCTATCTCATAAAATAAATATAAGACAGTAATTTGCACAACCTAACACACACTTCAAATATCAGAAGAGAAAAAGAAAATGAAGAATGATGAAGACAATCAAGAAATCAAAAGCAAGTAGTACGATATACTCAACGTATCAGGAGCTACCATATACTTTTTTAGTACAGGGATCAGAAGAAATGACATTTTAATAAAACAATGCAAATCAAAATCATTCAAAAACCACATAGTTCTTACATAAAATAAACCTAAGTCTTGCTTTTACCAGGCTTTATTGCTACTGAGACTCCAGGTCTATTAATTGCTTCATCAAAATTTTGACACCAGCAGTTAGCTTTCCAACAAGCTAAAGCTGAGAAGAAATAGTTTCAGTGTAGTCAAAAGTCCAATGCAAAAGACATGCCTCTGATAAGCTATTCTGCCTCAGTGAAAGATGTTTTCTTTTCTGAATAAAAAGTATGCATTACAGTTTAATCAAAGAATAACAGTACATTTGTAAAGTATGACCCTTTGGAGAATAAATTACCCTACTTTGACTTTCACCCCAACAAAAAAAACCCCAAACTATATTGAAAGAAAAAAAAGTGTGCAACACTTTCTCAACACCAATTTAGAAGCCATTAAAATTTTCTGGAAATTGATAGTTTCAAATTCAGACTTTAGTTCCATTGTATCTATCCGAAGTGAAACATCATCTTGGAGCCAGGGCTCTTTTAGCACTAATTGTTTGCCTTTAAAAGCAAGGCATGTACATGCCTTCACCAAGGCAAACAAGACATTACATCACTACAGTGATAAATTATGAAATTTCTAAGCTCTTCTAGATGGCTTGACAAATAAGTTTTTGAGGTAGAGGAGAAAATTTTAAAATAGTTTTTAAGAAATATCTTTTCCATGTGACAACTGCTTTCTCTCACTTAACATGTAAAAAGCAGTGTATGATCCAACTGCATTCTGAAGAATAGTAATTTCCTCATGTAAGAGGAGAAGGAAGACATACAGATATTAGACATCAATTGGTGAGTGCTTTGTATTTAACATCTGTGATAAAAGACATACCTGAAGCGTTTCACTGCATCTGCTACTTGCTCGGGAGATGTCATCCAATCAACGTGATCAACTATTTTTCTAAAACAAAAGCAACAAGTCTCTTGTTTAATTTTTAAAGCAGACAACCCAGAAGTGAAGCATTTTAATGAGCATTCTAGGGAAAACAAAGTATAATTTTAACTTTCTCCAACTCTGTAAGTAGGTTCTATAATACTGCACATAGGAAGGCAAACACTGATTCTCAAGATAAAAATCTAAGCTCACTGATCACTCCCTAAAGCTATAACTTTTTTCTTTTTTTTGGTAAATATACAATAATGAAGTTGGCTGCAAAGCTGCTGTTGCATCACCCATCAGCATAAGATAACTGGTTTGCTTGTAGAGCACTCCATGTTTTTCATGGAGTACTCTTAGGTTCTGCTTCTGTAAGCAAAATCAGAATCTCAAAATACTTGCTGCAATATGTACTGTTACTTCACAATACTTAACAGGAAATACAGACTGATAATTCATCAGGCCTTCAGTCACCAACCCATACATACAGTTCTATATCCAAATCTAGGATGCTTACAGAAATGATATATGCATCTGTGTATCACCACAATCCCAGAACTGTTTCCCCAACCACAATTTGAATTTAGTTTTCTAAGAAACAGAAAAAGATTATTTTTCTGCAGAATACTATTAAATCCCAAGAACCTGCCAGGACAAGGTATGACTGCTGACCAGAGGAAGCCATGAGTATTGGAAATGGCTCTAAATGCAGAAGCAGACTAGCACTACACTACAGCCATCTCTGCAATAAGGAAGCAGCAGCCTGTGCAGAAACTGTTGCTTATACTACAATCTGGAAAGAGTTGTTCAACAGGGCAGCATGTTCTTGGAAGTACAGTTCTCAAGACAGTTTTCAACTGGCCAAAAGGAATTACTTGAGAAAAACCCCACGCTACTTTACCACATAGCTACCTCATTACTGCTACCACAAGTCTGCATGTTTAACAGTGATGATGAAAACATCACAAATATAATTGTGAAGGGTAAAAAGAAATGACACAGTGAGGAATGTCCTGAAAAAAAGTAATAGGAAGCTATTTCTCACCATCTAGAAATCAAATTTTTGATTCACGGTACAAAAGCAAAAGTAACAATGCAGTTGTTGTTTATATTTTCTCACATTTCAGAAACAAATTATTAGGAGGCAAGCCTGGAAACTGTATATTTCTCAGCTGAGGGCAAGAAATATTACTTAATTAGCACCATTAACTGTCTTTGCATTTGCATGGATAAGTGTACATGTGAAGTACAAAGAACATGGAGCGGCCAAAACAGACTCCATAGGAGTCCTTTTGCTTCCCCACTTCCATCTTTTAAGTGTGAGAGCAAAAACTTTACACAGTAACTCAGTATAGTTCACATAATTTGAAAGTGCCAATGTATCATTTGTGTCATGAAAGAGATGTAAGCAGAAATAGTGCAGAAAGTAATAAATAATATTAATAAAAAAAGGTATAGTGGTAAAACAGGGCAAAAAGCACAAATATTTAAGCTACATTCACAGAAATATGAACTCCTACATGTGAAATCTATTTTGTAAGTTCTCTGACTTGTAAGAGTTACTGGAATTTTTCTTTCAATAATATTTTATGTTTATCGCCATTTTATACCACGTTTGCACTCAGTTAAGTGATTTTCTCCAAGGAGGAATGCATGCAGTTTTAAAGCACAATAGTTTAGTATTACCAAGAAGGATGTATAGACAGATACTGTACAGTCTCACATACATGATTGCTCTATAGAAGAAAAGCAGTACCTATTAATTGTGTCACCATATGTTGCTCTAATAAGTTGCTGAAGTAGATTTTTTATATTTCTTCTTAACCACTGATTTCTCTCCTTTAAATCAAAGACTTCATCCATAAGCAGAAGCATTACTCTCAGCGGAATATTGTCATCCACCTGATCACCAAGTAAAAGAATAAACAGTAAACTTTTATTTCAGTTCAAGAAAGCTACAGTTTTAGAAGCTACTTTAGCTGTCAAACACTTCAGTATCAGCACAACAATGACAAAAACTTCACTCTGAATTTTACTGAAATATGAAATCTTCCCTAAATCTTCGGTAACATCACAGTAGCAAAGAAGGACTGAACATTATATATAAAACCACATACATTGAATTTTTAAAATATTACAAGAAGTAGCTATTTCAAAAGTCAACAGTTATTACAGAAGTTGAATAAAATTAATACATGTAAGTATGTCCTAAAGAGAGACCTCATCCCTGATCTCTTCCTGGTTGCTGTGCCTCCAGCTGCCTTACACAAAAACTCAGGAAGGAGATTTTCTTGGGCACCATTTTCTTATGGATGCTAAAAACAGTGACATTTCACTGCAATGAACTGCTTTTTATTTAGACACCATTGTAACCTGCATGACTATCCTGTGCTTTTATGCCTGAAGATTAAGAAAAATATAATAATTTTACTTTTTTAGCAGATTATGTTACACAGATTGGCTTACAAAAATATGTTGGAGGGAGAAGAGAAAAAAGCCCAAAAAAATTAAACCCCCAGCCATAAAACACAGAAACAGTAGAACATGCACTCTTCACAGTTATTCCAATGTTGTGCAAACCATTACAGTGCTAGCAAAAATGGTAATTTTAAAAGGAAGTATGCAAATTTCTTTTTAAAAAGCTTAGAACTGCTTTGAAGTGCCTGGTATAGTGCCAGAAAAGAACAGAAGTGTAACTCAGTGCAGAATAAGTAACTCATTTGTTTGGTTTTAGAGGTGTCAACTCTGAAAGGACAAATGTCACTCACGTTGTCATCGATTGGTGCTGCAACACGGCAATGGTCAGGATCTGAATAGGTTTTCTGCATCAGAGGTGGCACCTACAATAAAAAATGCTATGTTAATGAAAGAAAAAAATACTTTTGAGTATGAACAAATCAGAAAAAAATTCATAAGCAGTCTGATTATGAAAATATAAAACAACAACATTTGCTCAAAAGTAACTGCAAACTAATATATACACAGCTGTGGATAAGTAACAGCAGTTCTTTCACCTTCCAAAACGAAAAATCAAGTCTACATATATTTCCGTATAGCTACCAAAATTATCAACATCTTTAAGACTTTCACATCTAATTTATCAAGTGCCTAGTGCTTCACCTGAAAAATACCGGAAAACTCTTATAAGAGACTGATATTTCTTTTGATATTTCTTCCTGATCTTGACTCCTGCCTAGTCACAGGCTTCCCAGCAAGTACAGCTGCAACTCTATAGCTAGTCATACACCAGGGAAGTTACTAGCAATGATCAAGTCCAGAGACAGTCACTTTGCCCTGCAAGTAATTAAGAAACCTCATATATCTCCCCAGGCCCCAATTTATTATTCCCTTTCATGATTTAAGGATTAATTCACCCATCTCAGTTGCTGTTCTACATCTGCCATATATAGCACAAGATGGAACAACCCCTGACCACAGACCTTACAGCTACACATAGAAAGAGGAACACCAGAGAAACGAAGGGAAGATGAACATGTTCTGAACATAACTATTTAACTATTTTCATAGGACTTCCAAACTGCATATCAAGGTACTCCTCACCCATAAAGTATTATATTTTATAAATGTAAGAAATAAGGGAAGATGGCAGTAAAGGCAGGGAAAAAAATTTAATTCAAATCAGAATTCAGCAAGGAATAAGTTGAAAAGAGGCTATATCCTTATTCTAAGTTTCAAAATATATGGGTTTTTTTCCCTAACAAAAACAGCAGATGCAGGAAATTAGCTGACTGAGAACAGTTAGTTAAAAAATAAGCCATGAATCTCATGTTCTTCTCAAGTTACTTCACTGAACTAAGTGGAGAACTGTAGTAGTCTGTAGATGCCATCTTAAAACATGTTACTTAACTGCAAAGACCTCCATTTTTGCAGTAAAATCACTGCTTAACCTTATTAAAAGGTGCAGGTACAAAACAGATTGGTCTTCTGTTTAATGACTTGATTCTACATAACATTAGTTTCAGCGAGTCAATAGTGACTCTTCTGTTAATTTACTAGTATGTATTAACCACCAGTATTTTCTTACCTTGAAAAATGATTGCTTTATGTCTTGTCCCAATCTCTCTGACATTTTACCCATGTTGTCTGACATTTTAGTCATTCCCTCTGCCAGGCTGTCAGGGATAGACTTGACTGCATTTGATACATTTCTCATAGAGTTACGCAGTGGATTTACAAATGTGTCCATCTGAAGGGGAAGATGTTTAACCAGAATTGTATCATCTATGAGGACACCAGTATATTAATAAACTATGAGAAACATGGCACAGAGAGCAATAACATAATAGTTGTTCTTACAACTCAAATTACTTAGCTTCCTTACAGAATGCAGAATACAGCTCTAATTTTACTTCCATTTATATTTCTCATTTGTTACAGCCCTACTGCAGCTATTTACATCTTTCAACAGATGTGTTTTCCTGAGTCATTTTCATTTCCCATCCCTTGGCTTTTCTTAGCTTAAATTTATTTTCCTTTTCTTCTCCATTCAATACCATTTCTCCCTTCCAAGCTTTCTACTTCCAGATGTTTCAATTCTGCTTTCAACTCTTCATCTTTGCAACATGCCTCTTCTAAACAGCACTGCAATAGTATGTATCATGGCAAGTATAATTAAAAACATAAAGTAGATTCACAGAAACTGTTACAATTTTTCTTTTGGTATATACTCTGAACTCAGTCCAAACAGAAGCACAAATACCAGAGTGATGCCCTTTAAAAAGTTATGCGTATAAAGAATCTTGTAAGCTGGAAAACACATCTTAGTCATTATAAAAACCTTGATAAATATTTAACTATTTCACTGTTAATTATTTAAGGAATATAGGCAGGACAGTAACTTGAGGTGACAATAGAGTTGCAGATGCTTTTTATATCTAAATTGCTAAAACTTTAGAAATAGCTACATTTGCAAAGCAGATGCTCACACAAACTGGTCAATGGAACAAAGAACCACTTGTCTGAAGACAGTTCTGGTGGCTTAATAAAAAGGATGTTGAGCCCAGAGCTCTGAATTTGACCAATGACTCTGGATGGTTACACCTAAATGCATAACAGGTGCTTTTGAAGGGAAATGCATATTGTGTTTTGGGCTGAAGAGTGGAAAGCAGTAAACAGTAATAGCAGCAAATACAGAGTAAAGAACTGAAAAAAGAAATCAGAAGGAATAAGACGATAAAAAAAATCACAGATGTTTGATAGAAAGCAACTTGCAACAAACACACTTTTAGACTAGTAGAGAAGTCTCAGTGCAATTTACTGTGTCCAATTTCAAAAGTTTATTTTATTGGCATACAAACAGATTCACCTATTATAAAAATGGTAATTTTTTGGTTCTGTATGTCCTTAGATACTTTGCCACTGAAAGTTTTAAAACAAGCATCATTTGCAAGATTTTCAAAGTGCTGTATAGTTCTTTAATATCAGTTCAACGTGTCTATTTAATGCAATCATTGCATTAATGAATGCTCTAAAGTTCCCTTGACTGTACTAAACATTCTTACCTTCCGTGCAAAATCTCCCTTCCCTTTGCTGTAGGCTTTATTCTCCAGGAAGTCATACACATAATGGGCTAAAGCTGGAGAAGCTTTCATCATTTCAGGATTTAACAAGAGCTGAGTAAAATAATTTTTAAAATCTATTTTAATACATAACGAACAAGAGACAATCAAAGACATCACATGTAGCATTATATTTTTTCATTCCTAATTTATATTCCAACATTAAAGTAGTCTCAGGATGGAAACAATGGGTTTCTTAGTAATTACCATAATTTTAACCACTATGGTAATTATAGCAACTCACAGAAAAATATCACCAAACAGTCATTTTACAGTGTTTTACTCATCTTCATTTATTTACTGTTAACATGTTCATTGACTTGGCCAAGAAATTTTAGTGCTAAATGACCAGAAATCCTATGAAGGAAGACAATTGAATTTGTTTGGGCTGATACAGGCCTTATCTGAAAAGAGGAACTGTGTGATTTGCTACACCGCTGGAGTGGGTGCCACTGAAATCCTTACACAGCAGCACAAGAGAAAGTCATCACAAACATGTCAGCAGGAGAAGGTCAATGGCATAAAGCTCAAAACCAAAATATCTAGAACCTCATCAGCTCAGAAGAGCTGCGACAGAACTGGCTGAGAATAAACTAAAACACCAAAGAAAATGCAAACTTATGAGACAGTATCAAGTTCTTACGGTATATTATTCAGTTTTGTGTACCACCTACAACACAACCTTTTTTTTTTTTTTTTACAAAAGAAAAAACCACAAAGACAAGCCACCTCTGAAAAAACCATTCCAAGCACAGAGCTAGAAAAACCCCAGTAACAGCTTACCTGCAAATAAGCATTTAAGTCTTTTTTCCTCTTTTCCAAAAACTCTCTGTCCATGTTGTTAAATGTTTTTTTGCCAGGAAGTTTTAGTATATTTGCAAGGTTTTCAAACTAGAAAAAAAGAGAAGGTTTTTTTTTTTTCTGTTTTCAAGAGCTTCAAGTCTTCATATAAGTCTTCATATATAATATTAACCTATTCTTATATATTCTTGATATATTCTTATATATCATCTAACACCTGACAAAAAGAATTCTCCATCATGCCTGGAACTGAGAATTCTTGGAGAAGCCAAAGAGAGAGGTATGGTGTAAATAAAAAATGCATGAAAATTCCTGGGAGACTATTAAGGATAAAATTTAATTTCTTGTGAAACTCTCTTTTGAAGTACACTTTTGAAATACAAACCAATAGAGTGTGCAAAAGGCTTAGGCTCAAAATTTACCATTATTATTATTTGGAATGAAGTTACTACGATTATAAGACTACATAAAGAGTAAAGATTTTCAAGAGAACTTGTAAATCTTTCTAAAATCTCCCTCCTTTCCTATCCTGATCAAGTCTATCAAGGAAATAATTAAGCTTTTCTCCCTGGAGAGATAGCAGCACCCAGTTTGCACACAGGTTATCACAACTTGGTCTAGATGTCATGATCTGTGCCTTTTCTCCAGATAATGACAGTGGTTGCCACTGTACTCTTTGACACTACATGGTTGACATGCATCCTGATCTAGTTTTGCAGGAAGAATGGCAGTCTGAGGGAAGGAGAAGGGAAAGAAGAGGCCCTAACACTTAATAAGGCTGAATATATTTGGTAAAATGCACAAAAAATTAAAAAATTACAAGAATAAAATTTGAAGAATCAGGACTATCTCCATACAGAATGCAGACTGCCTATAAATAATATCCTTAAGGTGGTAAAGAGAGAAACATACAGTATTCTAGGCTTTAAGAGACAATCTGGAAACAGGTTGCATCCTTTTCCTCTTTAGAAAAGACCACAACATTACAGATTTAAAGATATGGATTCCATTCAGTCCCTGCAAGATCTCCTCTTGCATCATTAAACTTCAGAAGGCCACAAAGCTCCATATAAAATTTATGGTCTGCAGGAAGCACCAAAGAATAGCACTTTACAACTTTAGAGATCCCATTCCCTTGCAAGTAGGTCATATGGGAAAATAACTGAACAAAAGATGGTCTAGTTTTCATTTGGACTCTTAGATCTGACCAGAAGCAATATAAGCAACTAACAGCCTCTATTTTAAACATAGGTATCTACTTCAAATGGTATTTACTACATGACTCACTAAAGGAACTGGTGTGAATCTACTCAGTGCTCTAAGAAAAACCCTTAGACACTTTGAACTGCTAGTTTCAATTCCATTTTATATCAACTATCTATTTTCTCTGAAAAAAAATCCCTGATCATCTTACTAATTTTAAATCAATGATTCTAACTTTTACCCTTAACATGTCAATAAGAATGTCTTAGACAAGCACACAAGACAGTAAGAATGTCTATTTTCTTGTCAAGACTAAGCAAAACTGTTGGGAACATCTGAGATGCCACAGTGAATCACAGAAATCTGTTTACTTTTTGCAACCTTAGTGCTCTAGGTTAACATTTCTATCTCTGTAAATTCAATCAGACATAGCAACCAGAAATGTTGAGCTTTCATATTTTGAACAACTTTGCTTTTGCTATTTATTTCTATTAATTTGAAGTTATGTTAGTTTTAAATGATTGTCCCGAACAGCAGAATGTTCATTCACTCTAAGATTAAGAATTCTTCAAAACACTGAATTAATTTAAGAAAATCAATCTGAAGGAGTGCAAAAATTGGTATTTCAAATTTACTGACAGCACACTAAGACTATCAGAAATTTGAAGGAAAGTCAGACTTCATTTCTAATTAATCCAAGTATTAAACATGTTTTCTTTTTTAATAAAGCCTTTTCAATTTTTATTACTGCTGTAACTTTAAAATGCTAACTTACCTGCACAGAATTTGTTCTCTATGACTCTCAATTAATAACAGAGTAAAGGGATATAGTCTGACACTTCTGACTAGTTCAAAGGTTATGCAGTTAAATCTGACTTCTCCAAAGGCTTGGTTTAAAAGCACTTCAGCCTCCGTTCAAAAGCACCATGTTTTCATCCTTTTTTCAAGTCAGTAGGTTCTACTTTGTACCAGGTGGTGAATTACAACTCTCTATTTCTTCCTTCTTTCATTTTAGGAGGGTTAAGAGTCTGAGAATACAAGTACAGCAGTAAAAGGCTGCTAGTACTATTAGTACTAGATTGCTAGTACTATAGTTAAGTGCTACCAGCTCTTCCTTTTGCAACCCTACCAATTCTTAACATTCACCTAAAACCTAAATACCTATTTCCCAACCTCAGCTTTTATTTCTTAATCTCTGAAAAATACAACTAACTCTCTTGGAGACCAACAGCACTTCCATACAAAGATTTAAAGTAAAATTAAGCCGTGTGGGAAGAGGAGGGAGACTTTTTAAGTTCCATTTCGTTTCCAAAGAGCAATCATACAGTCACCAATCACAAAACTACAGAAAAGTGCACCTGTAAAGGTCTTCATCAGATGGGTTACCTGCTCAGTGATCCTCATGTGGAAGTCGTGGAAGTCGCTGTAGCGCCGGTATGTCTTCCACATCTCCTCGTTGTTTGCGTTTCGCCGGTGGACGGTGATGGCGTACAGGGCGTACGTCTTGCCGTGGTCATTGCACACTCCTGCCACAGCATATGGGTCAGAGTCAGCATAGACTAGCAGTTTTAAAAACAAAAATAAAAAGGGAACAAACAGAAAGAAGGAAGACGAAAGGACACAAATGTGAAGTGAAAAAATGTCTGGAATGACAGACTTAAAAGACAAAAATGGACATGCAAGCAGAAGATTAAACTATCCCTTTAACTTAAACATTGTACAGTACCCTCCAAAACTTACTACGTAAACTTAAATAGAGATTAAGCAGCTTTAAAGCTAGGCAGGTTTCAATGACATGCAAAACATAAAAAGAAAAATTTTCAACTTTTAAATAGTAAATAGAACTTTAAAAAAAGATATTTTAACTTAAAGAACTCAAGATGAGAGTGAAAGACAACTGTGAAACCAGAAGAAATTCCAGTCTGCAAAGTAGTCTAATCACATTGCAAGTGTCTGCCCACCAGAAAAGCCTATAAATACAAGACAATGATTGCAAGCTGCAAGCATTCAGTTTTGTTATTGGCATCAGGAGTTTGTTATTAACTCAGTTATTAACTCTAGGATAAAAAACACTCCCCATGTTATTTTGGTCAACCATATATACAGATATGTGTACGTATATATGTAATGCATTCTCTGTGTGCGCACACACACGGTATGGAAAAGTCAATTCATAAATAAAAAGAACGCATATAGCTATCTGAAATAGAAGCAATCATCTTTTTGATCTCCATTAAATATTGAAGTTTTCTAGGACATTCCTCCCTCACAGAAATTTTCCCAGTACAGTATTCAAAACCTTCCATTTCATTCAGAGAATAACCTAGAACCACTATTGTTTACACTGCCATTTAAATTGGCAACATGTAGTATTTCCAATTATTGAGCCAATACCCAGTATGTACAGTTTTACAGTGGCTAAATGAAAACATTTTTTAATCAAGCCCTCTGAATTTTTCTATGCACCCATACTGCATAAAATAGAATCCTTCTGAGAAACCATCAATTCCATCCTCTGTAGTACTTTCAGTCTTGATTTCTCTGAAGTATAATACTTTTGTCTAAGCGCCCAGAGAGCGCCTCTAGGATAGTGGCAGCTGCTGCCAATGCAAGAATTACACATTAGAAAGGTGAAGAGTGGGCACAGAGCATCTTGTCTTTGCCATCCAGCCTCTAAAAGAAGCATGTTGAGCGCTGAATCCCTAGGGGAATGAGCAGCAGTCAGGATGGAGCCAAAAGACTGCCCAGAGAGCAGAGCGAGGAACCCCCAGCACCACAGATTCTGCACAAGCCCTGTCCTCTACATGCACATTGACCACTTGGTCCTGCAGCCACCAGACCACATCCCAGGGGCACTGCCAAGTGGCACCTTCAGAACCACTTCAGGCAGAAAAAGAAAGAAGTTGTCCTGCTGCCCCTTATGTCAAAGCCACTTAATTAGTATTTATTTTGCAACCCAAGACAGTGTGAATCCTGAAACACACAGAGATAATCCTGCCTGTATATAACCCTCACACACAGGCAAGGCCAGTAACTGGGTGAGGAAAAGGACCTGCTCACAGATGCAACTTAATACCATCCTGCAATATAAACCTGTACAGATCTCCTGCTACAACTGGAGCATTATGTATTCAAAGTCAGACTGGCAGTTATCAATACATGCTGCCCTCAAGATTATAAATATTACAATTTATGTGGTTCTAAGCTTACCTTTTTTTCTTAGGTTAGAATGATGAAACTTCTAAGTTTAATTCAGAAAAAAAGTACCATATGCCATTTTAATTAAAAAGCAGAATTTGGTTCTCAACTTTCAACTCATTTTCCACTTTCCCTGAGGACTGACTACCATTACACTTGGATTGCATACTGCCTTCACACTGAGTTGGAATAGGTTTAATTAAAAACTAAAGTAGCTGAATGCTTGCTGACAGCATGTGTCCACTACATAAATGCAGAGATTTAAGAGCATATTGCATAGTAAAATCTACCAAAAAATATCTGAAAATCACAATTTAATTTCCCAGTGTAATTGCATTTAAACAGAGTATTTGTAAATAACAGATGAGATTTTTTTGTTATTTACCCTCATGTAATAAAGAAAAATAATTTCATTCTAGGCAAAGTTTTTTAAAAGATAACCAAAAATGCCACCACAACAACAACAGAAGTTGCTTCCTGAAACTAAGCTAAGTCAGTAAGGAAGCACAAAGAATAAGGGAAAAATATTATACTAAGAGAATGAAACAGTCAAGAATTATAATTCTGTGACTAGAAAGAGAGATGTCTTTCAGAATTTCTTTAAGTAATTGCTAAAATAAATCCTATTCAACAGCAAGTTTAATGAATGATTGTCCAGAGATAAAAGCAGTAATAATAATAATAATACCATACGAAATAGAAATTAAATCACTTTTTAAGTACAGATATATAGTCTGTGACCTACAGAACAAATACTGGAAAGATTTCCAAAAAAGACTTAATGGAAAATATGAATTTAAATGTTTTATGAGGCCAAAAAATGAGACAATCAGGATTTCAAGGGCCTGTAATATTACAAAACTCAAAACAAATGGTGGCAAAAAAGTCAGCACACATCCTAAGAGATTCACTTACCAGTATCTGAGATGTATGCATGGAGCTGAACAGTCTCATCAGTGGGGACATTTGAAAGGTCATCTAAGGACTGCAGGGTGGGGAGATAATGCAGGAAGAAAAAATGTGGAAAAAAGAATAAGATCAGAAATACATCATATTCGAGATGTGTTTTGATTTATCTATTTAATTTTCAAACTTTCAGTTCACTATACTAAAAGTTTAGTGCACTGTAACAACTCAGGTGTTTGTACTACTTGGTTACCAAAGCCATTCTTTTGCACAGTATAGAGCATTTCATTCCCCCATCATTTTCACACAGTTTTGTGACCACTCATATTTGATCAAACATATTTGCCACTTCAGTTTGGTCTCAATTCTAATGGAAGTATGGTCTTTTACTGAGCATTGGGGAAAAAACCAAAACAAAACCAGAAAATCTCCCAAACAACTGGGGAGATACAGATGTTGTGTAACAGGTCTTCTGGCTTTTACCTTCATAGCATTCTGCTTTCTTTCAAATATCTTTATGCCCTACACAAACGTTACACAGCAGTAGAAACTAAAAGTTTTTCTGCTGTATGTAAAAAAAAAAAAAAACAGCCAACATTCTTTTCAGGAATACTTTATGTCGTAAAAAATGAACAGGTACATCCTCAGCTGGTTAATGCTCTGTCTGAATATTTAATAATTACTGGGATGAAAAGAAGCCTAATGGGTCTTTTAGAGAAGCCTTTGTTTAAATCTGATTACTAAGATTTAACATAATCAAGTTCTTCAAGACTGCTGAAAGACTTGCTTATACAACTGACGGAAATAGAGGTTGGCCACTATGCATTCTAATCTTAAATTACCAGATTAAAAAAAAAAAGAGTTGGAGCCACCTAAGTAGCATTCGCAGACCCTTGGATCACAGTTACTTTATGTATTTTACCCCCTAATTGTAAAATTCTCCAAAGAAACATACTCAGAATGAATATAGCTACTTGCTATCTTTTATAATTTAATCAAGCCAGTTTAATAGTGACTTATCATGAAAAGTTACCTACAATAGGACTTATTGGTTAGCAGTGCCATGCCCATATCAAATTAAACCTCTACCTACATCAATTCAGTTTCTAAATCTCTGTTTCCTTAAACATAAAACAATATACAAGATTACAATCAAAAGACAGGCTGGACTTAAACATCAACTATTTAAAGACTCTGCTCTTGCCCCTTCTTCATCTGAATCTTTATCAGCTCCAAATATCCCAACATAATACTCCTTTCCTCCTCTAGTTCTCTTCAAGGAATGGCTCTTGTCTGCCTCAATGACCTCAATCAGTCTCTGCCTAAATGTCTACTACTGAAGGCAGCTTTTCTGTTATAAAGTCTAGACACTGAATAAAAGGCAGCTTAAAAGTGGCTGAGTAACATGTGTTGCAGTAGGGAGTCTCCTGAACAATATGCTTGTAGACTTGTAGTACCAAGGTCCCAGACTGAGAAAAGGTAGAAGAAAGAAAAACCCTTCTGGGGAAATCTGTTTTGCCACAACATGCTATAGTGCTGGAAGTTTATGTCTGTCGAATGGTAGAACAGATGAATTTATGCAAAAATATTTTGACAGCAGACATCATCTTTACCTCAAGAATCTATAAGTTACTGGATGCTGGAGAGTTATTCTGGTTAAGTATCACCACAAGTGGGTTGTTCCTTTAATCTTTATGCTTGCTTTTAGTCATTGCTGGACACAACACTGTGACTTAGTCCATTCTTGAGCAAGTGCCTTGGACAGCCATGACCCTGTCAGGTGTGCTGCTCTACACTGCAGTGTTCAATTCAGGAGCAGAGTAGCAGCTGAGACTGGCTAACAGAAGACTTTTGTGGAAGCCTGGATAAAGTGCTTGATATTCTGAAAGCTCTAGGATTTGATTATCAATAAGATGGAAGTGATGTGATGTTATAAGAGAAGACAAGTAACTGCCAACTGCTCAAATATTTTGTTTGCTACAAAATACTGGCATTAAGGTACTGTTGTATTGTTAAAGGCATAATTATTTCTTGTTTTCCTGCATCCCTTCACTGTCACTCAAGTTCAGATTTCTTTGTGACTACTGAGTGGGGTTCAAGCTGACATATGCTAATGACTGCCAAAGTTCAACCCAACCACTTCTGCTGCCCTTCAAGGTCTTGGAACACCTGTGTAAATCCTTCTATTTACTCAATGCAAAGCTCCCATTAGGGATCCTTCAGAGGAAATCTGCAAGAGTCTATAAATATTTACAATAATTTTATACTCCCAAAATGTGACCCACTGTTTTAATGTAGCAGATTAATGTATCAAAACAAAAGGCAGCAATTATGATATTTTTGTAAAACAACTTTTCTTCAAAACAGTTTTGAGCCCCTCTTCCAAATTCTTACAGTGAAAGTTGGAATTGCAGACAATATATTTTATAATAGTAACTTTAGGAAACACTCAACTACTGTGGCAAGGCACTATACAGCAACTATTAATACAAGTAAATTAAAAGTTTGAAACCTGAACAGATAACACAACAGACAGACATTTAATATGAGCTAATATCTCCACCATTAGATACATTCACAGGAACACAAGTTAATTAAAAACCTAAAAATACCACAACCAAATCTTATTTAACACATTGTCATTAGCTGCAAGTACAGAAATTCCCTGACCTTTGAAGTAACCTTTCCAAGGTCTATTTTTCTTATGTAACAGACTAACACAAGGGAGCTAAACTATGAACACAGAAATTTACTCTTGACATGGAATTCAGCCAGCAAAAACTAATATACCAGTATCCAAACACCTGTAAAAGCACTGAACACCCTGAACAATATGGACTACAGAACAGCAAAAGTAGTTCTGCATAAAGAGATATTTATTTATGTATTTCTCCCAGAATGTTCCTAACTCTTTATAATAAATGTAGTATTCTATAAATACCTTTGTCACAACAAAACCAAAAATCAAGTCTTTGAAGAGTCCCATGCAAATACCTATTTGCACTGCAACAGTGCTTGGTAAAGGCTTTAGGACTTTCTAACTTAGCTTGGAAAGTCACTTCAAATGAAGCAGGAGATAACCACAGCCAGATAAGCCACCACAATGACAAATCCTAATCCATAAAACATAACTCTGGTATGTCACAACATTGTTAGAAAGAGTACTTAAAAGACATTTGAAACATCTTTTAAAGAAATCAGTCAGTTAAAAGGCTCTTGTGAAAAAATATGGCTGAATTAAGTTTTTCTTCTGCATCTACCAGGAGTTTGCATTAATTGCATAAGCTAAACATCTCCCCTTTTCTTTACATTTCAAAATGTCAACAATAGGAAATAACAGGAAAGAAAATCCCAGTTTAAATTAAAAAAACATCCAAAACCTACAAAAACCCAAACCCATAAACAACAAAACACACAGACATTAAAGGTATGTTTATTTCTTTAGAAAACACTCATTCCTTTTGATGCAAGCATGACCTTACCAATGCAATGGAGCTGCTAAGGAGCTGCAGCACCTTCCCAGAACAAACTAGAAGGGCCCAGGCATCACATAATCCAGGAAATTGCATGCAGACTGTAAATCTTTATGTAAACCTTCATGAAACTAAAAGGTTTGGAAACATACTCTCATATGCCAAACTGAATTTTGTGTACCTTGTGCCTCAGCTACACACTGTCTGCAGAAACACAGGAAGGATATATACCAAACTTCTTATGATTTCTCCTTTTTAAATAAATATATTTGCATTTTTGGTTTAGGTACACTAATTTAACAAAGAAAAGGTTTTGACAAACTGACGCAGGTCAAGAATTAAAAAAAATAAAATTGAACTTGAAACTGGACAAATAAAAAAAACAAAGACTCATGGCTGAAATAAATTCCAGATACTTAAATGTTTCCAAATCGAGTCCTGAAAAAATCAACCAACAAAAATATAATTAAATGCCTCATTTTTCAATCCATTTGAATTTAATCCTGGGAGATTTCTGTTTCAAAGGATTTGTTTTCACCTATTATTATGTAACTCCAAATTTCTATCTATTTATGAAAAGCAAGTAGGGGTAAGAAATTATGCCTTCCATAAATTAACTGTTTCTGTGAGAAACAATGCAAAATGTCATTAAACACAAGAAAATACAAAAAGGAGAAATTTTATCTTACAGAGTAATTAATAACTTGTGTGTTTCAATTTGATTCAAAAACTTTTTTAGAAATTCAACTGCAGTGAAGTGAAACCTGTAATGTACATTGTTAAACTACTTTATCACACTTTCTCTACTTTTGAGGACAAAAAAAAAATACAAGCACTTACCAGATTTATGCTGCTAGTAGGAGACCCATTAAAAGATTCTGGGAGCAGGGAGGAAAATGAAAGGAAAAACCAGGTTAGAAAATTTTCCCCCATTGTAGGGCCACACATAAATAAAAATGCATCCACAAAACATTATGGAAAATGAAAGAGAACTGTGGCACTGGGCAAAATGCTGCATGCAACATGCAAGTGTTTCAAATTTCCAACAAAGACACTTAAAGAACTGTAAGTTTATAAAGATTCTACATCAATACTTCAACATTTTTTTAAATTTATATCCCCACATGGTACTCCTTAAGGAGTTAAGGAGCTAGTTAAACAGTGAAAACAATTTCCACTGGATTTGTACTTCAGTTAACAAGAACAATGATTTTATTTGCTTTAAAAAGCCACATTTCCTATGTACTTTCAATTTCTATTTCCAGAGAGGAGTATAGTTATGTATTAAAAGAACCCAATACATTGAAGAGTTTTAAATATCTTCATGAAAAAAGTAGAATGGAAGAACTGCATATTTTTTTAGTGACAAACTAGTTACCAAGATCTGACAAGAATTTATGTAAGATTATTAAACTTACTGCAGTGAAATCCCTATGTGAGTTTACACACAAAAGCATGAGGAGGAAAATAAATTTAAGTATGAGACACCACAGAAGTATTTAACTTCCTAAAAACAGTGCGGATAATTGTTTTATTTTCATTTGAAAACAGAGAAAAGAATGGTCCCAGGAAATACCCCTTAGAGATACAGAGCTCACCTCCTTCACCATCATCTGATCCTCTGAAACTAGGATCCTTCAGCATGTCCAGCTCAGCTAACATACGCACGTACAACACATTCTGCTTGAACGAAGGGTAGAACCTCTCATCTCGCAGCATCAACTCGTACACCTTATTGAAACAAAAGTGCCAACTTCAGAGATACTTACTGCATTTTTTAATTAATCAGACTAGTTTTCATAAATTCTACTTGAACAAGAAGTACCTGTGCATACATGTCTCTGACTTACTCTTAATGGAAAGGTTATCAGAAAATAACTAACTAATCAGACATGCACATCTAGGAAGGGAAGTGGCACAATAGATGCAAACATTTCTGTCCTCTGCTCTGAACCCCTCCAACTGCAGTATAAATCTATTTGGTCTTTATCCATTTTATAAAAGGTTATCTCAGTCCCTCCTTGTGGATAAACTATAAATGTAGACCTGCAAACACTTAGGGCAAGAGGTGAGAAGAGGGAAAGGAGGAGGGAAGACACCATATGTCAGAAGACCCTTCTGACAATTTCTAGTTTAGCCAATACGATATAGCCACACCTCACAAAGATTTAACCACACCACCTTAAACAATTCACCTTCACAGCATATACACAAATATCTATACATGTAGGAATTAATTCATAATGTTTGGATACTCATGTCAATTGCAGAATATTTTAATTTTTTTTTTCATGGACCACTGTTCAAGTACTTTCATCTAGTAAGAATAGAAAAAAACTCAATACATCCAGGTTTGAGGAAGTTCATTTATTTTGTAACATATGGGAAACTTATCCTCCTCAGCAGAATTCCCAAGAAAGGCCCAGATTTCCCAAGGTGCTTTAACTAGTCTTAAAGGAAAGTCCCATGTATGATAGTGTGATTCTAAATTCAACAGCTCATATCACTAATTTGTAGCATGAATGAGAATATCAAAGTAACAATCTAAAATAAAAACATTTCAGACTGGGTATGTAAGTTATTGCCAGAATATTAATCATTCACTTTTCCTTTTAAAATATATATACTAGACTTGAATAATAAAAGTCTACAGGTAGTAAATATACTGGGTTTTTTTTCAGTACTTGTTACTTCTGAGTGCTTCACTGTGCAAGTTTGCAGAAAAGGACGAGTCAAAATAATTTCTGAGAACAGCTATAGGATTTAAGATGGGACCATTACATTTACCTTTGAAAAAGAGAAGTAAAACTGAACAAAAACTGTATGTCTTAGTCTAGTCATGACATATGTCTTAAATTGGTGCATTAACACAAATTAAAACATGAAAATTTTAAACTGTGTTTCATGCTTAGATTCACACAGGAAGGACACCTACCCCTTCTGTCAACTGCTTTGAAAACCATGGGCTAACGAATGGAAAAGCAAAAGTTGATAATTTTAAAAGAGCATGATTTTCATAGGACAGAAAAAGGGTTACACAGGTTTTAGAGTTTAGATATTTTACTTTTTTCCTAGGATCTAGAGTTATGTTTTATACTCTATAGCATTTACAGGTCTTATGAAATAAAGGACGAATAGATTATACCTTTCTCTGAATGTCATCAAAGATTTCAGGTGTTGGATCCTCATGGTTCAGTGTTTCTGCAAGTTTTGCTACTAAGTTGTCATCAATATTAACTCTTGGAGATGCCTGTCATAGAGATCTAAATCAACTTTTGCAGCATAAAAATAAGAAAGCTCTACTTTATCAAATAAAATCCAATACAATGCTGCAACTCTCTAAGTAAACTAAATTTCTTTTTCACAAGTATCTCTGTAACTGTCTAGAACATATGACAGGAGTCAGATCCCATCCACCCCCAAAATTAAGTTCAGAGTTTGTATTAAAACCTGGAAGTTTCACTATTAAACACTAGGAATAGCCTCCAAAACAATTTATACATACATTGTGAGGCAGTACCTAAATCAGATTTACTCAGACTTATAAACAGCTTTTATTTATTCATGAAAAAGATTAGGATTCAGAAATCAAGAACAAGCCAATAAAAAAGTAATAGGATGAAGTTCTGAAATATCTGAGGAAAGGCTAACAGTTTGTCAACAGCCCATTTCTGAGTGAGCAGTGATTTTTATGCACACACAAATTCAAAACAAAGATGCTTTGTCAATACAAGCTGATGAGTGGTTTCTTCCACAGAGGAATCCTTACTGCCTATTGAAAGTTACCCAATGGTGACATTTGAGCAATTTACACAGAAAATTGTAGAGAGGCACAAGAAGCTACTTCATTTGATAACCCAATTTAATCCAAATTTGGACAAATACACAGTTCCATTTTTTAAATAACACTTCTTAAGGGGGCAGGCAAGGGTGGAGGGCAGAATAGAAGGAAGGAAAAGGACAGCATATGCAGAGGGACTTTTTTATTCTGTCTTTACATTGCCTAGTTTGCATATTCTAGAAAGCCAACTTCTGAGGAGCACAGTGCATCTGACAAGGCAGTCAGTGGCAATATGAGCCTTTATAAATAAGGGGGAGCACAAAAGAGGAAGACTTCCTTACTGCTTGACATGAGAGAGAGAAGATACACACACAATAGCTTAAATGTCAACACGTAAGCAACTTGTACTACATAACAACCGTTTTATATTAACTTAGCCATAACTATATCAAAGAAGTATCAGGACAAAGAATAAACAAGCTGCAGAATGAAGTTATTCCTACCTTTTCTGATAAATATTGCTCATAAACTCCAAATGCAGCTGCTCTTAATAGACCCTTGGTCTGATTAGTCTGATGCTTTCCATCTTTCTGCCGACTTTGAAGTACCTCCAGTTGTTGCTGAGCTGTAACCCTGTATCCTTCCACTGTCATCCAGAAAAACAGATGTGCTTGGCCACCAGTTTGCTGCATGTAATCTGCAGAAAACAGGCACCACATGACCTTAGTTACTGTTGTGCATCTTGGAATAGCAATTCTCTATGATGTTGACTACATATGGAATACCAGAATCTGGTTATACATCTGGAATACTTGCCATATAGAGTCAATTAAAAAAATACATATACATATTGGTGATAAGTATGTGTATATATGTATACATATATACATATTTGTGATAATCATAAAAAAGAACCTGAGAGCAAAGTCTAGGAACTAAGCACTGAATCCTCAAATGCACATGTAAAAAGTGAATCCATTTCTACCGTGTGAATATAAGGCTTGTACAGCATGATACAAATGGAGACAAAGTTCAAACTGAATTTCTAAAAAACATGTTCATAGAATCATGGGATCATTTATATTGGAAAAGATGTTCAAGAGTGCCAATCTAATACTTTCAAGTCCATCACTAAACCATGTTCCTAAGCACCACATTTACATGTCTTTGAAATACCTCCAGGGATGGTGACTCAGCCGCTTTCCTGGGCAGTCTGTCAAGCCAATGCTTCACCCTTTTGGTGAAGAACTATTTCCCAATACCCAATCTAAACCTCACCTGGCAGATCTTGAGGCAATTTCCTCTCTCCCTGCTGCTAGCTGCCTAGGAGAAGAGAGCAGCCCTCTCCTCACTACAGCCTCCTTTCAGGCAGTTATAGGGAGTGATAAGGTCCTCCCTGAGTGTCCTTTTCTCCAATCTAAGAAACCCCAGTTTCATGGGACACTTCATACAAGACTTATGCTCCAGACCTTTCCCCAGCTTCGTTGCCCTTCCCTGGACATGCTCCAGCACCTTAATGTCTTTCTTGTAGTGAAGGTCAGGATTTGAGGTGTGACCTCACCAGTGCTGAGTACAGGGGAGCAATCACTGCCCTAATCCTGTTGGCCACACTACTGCTGATCCAAACAAGGACACCATTGGCCTTCTTGGTCACCTGGACTCACTCCCGGTTCATGTTCAGCTGCTGTCAACCAGTACCCCCAGGTGCTTTTCTGCCAGATAGTTCCCCAGCCACTCTGCTGCCAGCCTGCAGCACTGCCTGGGGTTGACACAAGTGCAGGACTTGGCACTTGGCTTTATTGAACCTCATACAAATGATCTCGGACCATAAATTCAGCATTCTTCCCACTAGAGAGCCTTCCTGCCCTCCAGCAGATGAACACTCCTGCCCAACTTAGGTGTCATCTGGAAACCGACTGAGGGTGTTCATTTTATGCCCAAGATGATGATGATGATGATGATTATTATTATTATTATTATTATTATTATTAAACACCACCCTGTTTGCAAACAACAGGTTCAGACAGGTGCCTTTCTAGACTGGCTGCCTCACCAACTGTGTCAGGAAGTACCTCCCATGCACTCCAGGAACTTCCTGGACTGTTTCCATCTACTGCATTAAAAGGATTATAGCCACCAACAAAACTGATGGATATTCTTAGTACTGACATTTCGCCATTCCAAGCACACAGTCCTGTGAGTTAGCATATTCTTTATAAATAAAACAGATCAGACAAATTAACACTTACCCATAAAAAACTGTAGTGCAACATTGTCTACCAGAATATGGTCCAAAGGGACTGTGCAAAGTTTTCCAAAGTTTGCTGCCAGTTTCACAGTATCTATTTCCTGTAAGACACCGTTCAGTGTGTTCATAGGCCTTTTTTGAACTAACTTTTAAAACTTCTACTTACAAAGCATATAGGTTAAAAAAACTTACATACAATAAAGTAGCAGCTCAATGATTAACTATGTGCATGATCACTAGTAAATGAAGGTCTAGATTAGAAGGTCATGTTTTCTTAATTATTTGCCTTCAAAAACAGCTGCAACTGTTCTGCTATATGATAAGCTGGATTTTAATACTGCTGTTCATGTAATACTCTACAGGTCAAATTAATCCCAAATACCTCATCAGCAGTGACAGTAGCAGAAAATTAATTAAAAAGAATTAATGTCAGCATTTGATGGGCTGCAGGTCACTACAACTTAAATTCATCTCTGTCACATTTTCTCCTGCTTATATGACACTTCTTGCTATTACAGCAATACCTTCAGGTCCAGCTAGAGAATGCTTAATTATTTTAATAGTCAATACATGCAGAATATTACACTACCTTGGAACCACATCAAGGTCAAATTAAGAGAGTCAAGAAACTAAGTAAAGTCAAACATACCAACTCTATCAACCCTTAATTATAAAACAAGCAAAACGAACAGCTCGTCAGTCTTTTGCGACCTCACTCTTTTGAAATTAAAAAAATTTTAAAACACTTACTTTTCCTGACTGCAACCTCTGAATTCTTGAATCACATACTTTAATAACATATAATAAACTGTTTATTTGATTTTTTATAGTGTTGATATCTGCAAGCAAAAACAAAGACAATTAAGCAATGCAAATGACTAAATAAAGTCTAGGTTGGTTTTTCTTTTTCAGTTTAAATACCTTGCTAATGAAAGTGAACAAGAAGAAATATCTTTCTTTTCCCTTTTTAAGATTAATGTTTAACTGACTACCATTAATACCTTAAATATTACTGAAATTCAGAACCACCAGTCAGGCAGTTTTGATTTAACAGAAACACACTTAGCTAACCAAATTCTCTGTCCTTACAAAAAGGCATTAAACACACACCAACCAGCAAAACAATTATGAAAATGAAAACTCGAGTTTTAGCACTTTTTATGCAATTTTTAAAAAATAAAATACTTTGTACTGTGTTGCATCAGAGCTTTTAATTTTTAATTGTTGCAATATTCTACAGAGATCATGCTTTTAAGTGCCCTTCATATTTTTCAAAACAATGCAGCACTAACCATCTCCTGCTGTATCTAGAGATCGAAGATATTGCAATTCTTCACTTGCTTTATCTTTCACAGCTTCCAATTCGCCTATATTATCACTTAATTTAATAATATTCATAAAGGCCTCATAGTTACAGTTGGAATCACGAATCTGAAACACAAAGTTTTACAGTGTAAGTAACACAAAACAGCTATAAGTACAAGACATGATTCTTCTTCAAATGAATTAGTTTGATACAGCACTGCAAAGTGACATTTTGAAAGTTCTTTGATACTTCTAAGTTTTCTTTTTGGTACTGGAATTTTACATGGACTAAAACAGAAAAAGCATGCATAGTCAAAAACTATTTCACACCATCACTTTCTGTTTTCAAGAAGTACAACACAGACACATGGGAAGTCCATCAACCTCCTTAATGAAGATCTCCAAAATCCAATCCACCATCTTCTGTTATTATCTTCTTAGCTAAGTAGGCAGAAAATGGTGAGACCACTGAAAGGGTTCAGCTTTACCAAGATCCCCTGCAAGTACACATGCCCCCAGAGTAGTGGCTTCTTAAGATACAGAATTACAAAAAGAATTAAAACATTCTACCATGTAATCATAACCTACTGAGGGAAAAACAAATCTACATGACTCCCCTCTGGAACCCTAATTCAGATACCCTGGCAAATAGTATTAAGCTATTTAAATACATACAATTTTACCAGTACTGGCATAGAATGAACCTGTATTGGCATAGAATGAACCTGCTTTAGGGACTCAAAGGAATTTGTGCAAGTGAAAGAAGCCTGCTGTGGTGCCAAGACACTGTGCTGTGAATGCAGCATGGAGATCAGGGAAAGGTTGGCAGCTTTACAACATGAGGACACAGGTGCTGAGGGTAAAAACAGCATTAGAACTCAATCAGATGAAGCTTAAAAAGTCACTTCACCCACATCTCTTATAAATGCTCACTTTGATATGGAAATGTAATACTTGGTCTGTACTGAAGAAGTGCATTGACATGAGCTGCATGAAGCAGAAAGAATGAAGACTGGATATCATTGATCAAAGTAAATGGGAAAATTTCCCTAAAATCTGCTTTTAAAAGTAATCGTACAAGCAACGCTTGAACTTAAAACATTTTGTAAATTTGTGAAGAGAGAAGTTTGAATTAACTTCTGATTTTGCCTTGAATCTTTGTATTTCATTGCAACAGAACTAGTATTGGACTGTGGTACACCAGGAATTAAACTTCTCCTTTCCAGAAACTAATCTTTTCATTCAAGTGTGACTTTATGTCAAAGGTTCCAAAAGGAGCCAGGATTTATTTCAGTCATCTCTACTTCTGACCTTAATTTCTGCAACAATCTCCATTTCATATGACTTGTATTAAACTTTTTCCTTATCTTTTGCCCAGCACATTTGCTTCTTCAACTCAGAAAGCAATTTTGAAAATCAGTTATTTGGGACATCACTATCATAACAGCAAGCTTTATAAAAAGCTCAGAATCCTATCTCTGGACACAGCCGGGGGCAGTGTGCAGTAAATAAAGAACGAGGCCAAGTTACAAATAAAGAACACACGTAGGAGGAAAGGGGAATTGAAAATTGAAAATTCTGGTCCAGATGAGCACTATTTTTTTCTTACTAAAGCTAGGTTCCTAGTAGAAAGCTAGTAGAATGTGTGCAAACTTTTACATGAAATGAAGGAGGCTGGAGTGAAGGAAACACTGTACATATACCCTTAAAGCCATTCCATAATTCCATACATAAGAAGAACTTTGAAATGCAAGGGTGTTTTCATAGAACTTGAAAGTACACTATAAGACTAAAATATATGAATAAAAAGAGAGAACTTGGGGGGGAAAAAAAATTAAACTTGATCCATGAACTATACAGGATAATAATGTATAAGAGTAAGTTTTAACTTGCTTTGCAAAGAATCAAGATCGTTAATTAAAGCACAAATATTCTATTTATGTTAGCTTTACTATACACTACTACTTTAAAAAGTTTGGGGGCGTTTCTCACAAGTGCATTAGAGAGTTATCAAGATTAAAAAATTGTTTCTGCCCATTCCATTGAATTATTTAGGGTTAACACAAACAGTCCTAGAATAACTGCCCTGAAATTCCTTAGCAGAAAATAAATTTTTCTTAGTTTTCATTCTTGAAGCATCTTAAGCTTGAAAGGCGAAACTGTAAACAGTCAGGGGAAAACACCTCCACGGGTACTGCCATGCTTTCCAAACAGCCAAGCAGAACAGTCAGAGGATTGAACTTTACATTTTGTGATACATTAGTCCTCAGTCAGGCAACTTCTGCTGAACAATCAAAATGAAGAGTGCAGATATATAGACTCCATGTGTATGTATGTATAAAATTAAACATAGCAGCCCAAAGTTCATTATCTCTGCCAACATATCCATTGGTAATGTTTATACCAGACACCTATCCATCATGATTATAGGGAATACAATTAAAGCTTTATATGAAAACGTTCTGGAAATAGAAATTATTTAAATAATTTTGTGTCTTACCATCCATATGACATACTGATTAATATAATCAGGATCACTGAGCTGGTTTATTAATGGAAGAAGAATTCCTCGGGAGAGGATTTCCTAAAAAACAAAGGATTTTTATATCATCATTTTATATATTTATTCATAAAGCTAGTATAACTGCAACAATTTAAACACCACTGTGTAGAGCTTAAAACACAAAAGTGTAATTACAGAAAACATTTAATAGGCACTACTATATTTTCCTCCAATTAACACTACAAATGTAATTTGCAACTGCAAGAAATTACAAGAAAAGCCTCCTCAAGAAAAAACAACCTCAAAATAAACAACATCCACTTTCTCATGCTTTTGTCATGATGGAGCTAAAATCACCTTCAAAAACATCTCAGACAAACTGTTCTCTGCTATTAAATACTTATCAAGACTCTACTGCTTTTAAATACCCTAATATTAAATTAGATCAATTTTAGAAAATAAGACCAGCAGTTGAAAAAATTTTTATGACATTAAACCAAAGAATTGGAATGGCTTTTAGAGTCTGTACTTACCCTGACAAAGTATCGCATGATCTTATTCTGGAAGTCTCCAGGAGGTAGCAATATATACAGTAAAACCTCACACAGATCCCTTAGGAATCCTAGAGAAGGAAAACAAAAACCCTTCAGCACAATTTTACATTATGTTACTTCTCATCTTACCTGATATCACCAAATGCCATACATAAATCCTTAATTCTGAGTTCAAACATACAATCATGTATCTCTTACATTCCAAGCATTACAGTAACACCTTTGAGATGGAACATAAGCAACACTGATGAAAAAGATCTACCTCAAACCCAAAACAACAAAAGCCAAATTGCAAGATTAAAAAGAACCCCAACAACCTAACTCAAATGCATTTTCCTTACTTAACATATTCTGTTTTTTTTTCCTCTCCTTCAACACCTTCCCTAAAACTATAGTGCTTTTTGCAGAAAGACTACAAAATAGTGATAAGGAAGGCACATCTACCAAAAAGCAGTAAGAATCTGCAAAACCATCCCCTCCCTCCCAGGAAAAAATATTTTTATCTTAAAATTTTTCCAGTGAAAGGAGGAAGACTTACATAGGTACATGCTTCATTTTAGTTATCACATTAATATGTACAAATCAGAGGAAATATACATGTATGGTAGATCGCCAAACTTTGAAAGTCATATGCTAAGATTTTAATGCATTTCATATTGTGAACACAATTGTTAGTATTTTAATTTAGTTTCCCATACTAAAAGATTTACTCAGAAGATAATATTGAGAGACCTTCTTCATCTTTGGGAGAAGTGCAGACTAGATCACGACAGACTTCTTTTTCCATTTCAACTTCAACCTCAAAGAATGTATCTACAAGTTCCTCAGCTTGATCTATGCAAAAGAAAATTTAAAAAGCATGTTTTTGTCAAGACTAGAAACTTGAGAGAGAACTTGAATTATAAAATAAAGCTAACTATATTTCACACACATAAGATACCAGCCTACTTAGACAAATAAAAAAATACTTCAGATTACCTTTCATCTGATTGCCTTTCTCTGCTATCCTTTGCTGAGCTTTTCTGAAAACTCGAAGATGAGTGCCAAAGTCATCAACAAGTCGTGTAGTGAAATAAGGCTGCCAGTCTGTTTCCTTTGACCTATTAGTAAAGGACATCCATGGAAAGTAATTATTTTATTGTGAACACAAAGAACAATAATAAATTCCTACCTCTCATTCCTTCCTGCCAGAACACTGACAGTAAACATGGAAAAGCAAAGAAATAAATCAGTCTCCTAATTGCCTATCCACTGAAAACCTAAATATTGAAAAATACCACTCTTACACCACATTAATATTTATGTTTGATTTAGTTGAAAGTCAACATTTGCATCTAGAATAGTGTTCTGATTTGTGACACTGTCAAATATCTGTGAGAAGTCCTGATATAAACAGTTCAAAATGCAAAACTAAAATACTCTCCAGGTCTTTTTCAGCCATACTTTCTACCATTTTGGAAGGCATCTAGTCACAAGAATTTTCTTCTGAACTTGCAGAATACGTACCAGTGAGAAAGCACACACTTGAAACTAAACACAGTCTAATCAATCAACAATTGATTCCACAGCTTATATGAGGTTCTTAGCATACTCCTCTGACAACACAAATAGGTTTCGATCAGAAAATAGTCACTGTCATAAAACTACTTCCTTAGTGGTGTGAAAAGGACAGAGGCATTTTTAGGATATCTGTGCCTTAATAGGCAACCTAGCAATCTGATTGTGAATTATAAGTTTAATGAACTTTGATGCCAGTAATAGCTCTTACACCACACTAAGTATTTTATTGCCTGAACTCTCAAGATGTTAAAACAGGAATCCTTCTACAACTCTTCATTCTTTTGTCTTTGTTCCCTTACCTACTCTTTCTTTTCTCAAGGAGAAAGAGACAAGGAACTCTGGAAGAAAGGGAAGACTACTGCAAAATCTAGACATGTAAATAGGAAGCAGAGCTGTCTCAAAAGGCCATTGATCAAACAATCCAGATCCCCCACCTGCACAAGACAGAACCACACAAAACCTCTGGATGGCAGCCTTACCACAGGCTCCCAAAGCTGCAGCTCTCAGGGAATACTCAATTCCCACTGAATTCATTCTCCCCAGAAGCTGACAGGCTGTATGAAACTACAGGTGATGGTACTAACCTAAACTGCTTCAGCTATATCTAACTACAGGCCTTATAAATACACTACATCATTTTTTCTGCAGAAGAACTGCTGCAGGCCTGTGAAATTGATTTGCTTTCTACAGCAGAACACAACTGCACAGGAAATGTGCCTATTTTTGAAGAGCTATAGTACTGTAGGAAAGAAAAATAAACCTGAAAGAATTTGACCTACTTTGACACAAACTCAGTGCTCAACACTGTCCAATGAAATGGACAGTGCCAAACAGACAAAAACACTGAAACTGGGTAGTCAGGTGCATTTCATGCATACATTTGGTTGTTGTGACAGTTTATTTAGCATCGTTTTCACCATTTCAATACTGCTTTCTAGGATTTTTATTATTTTACTATATCATATATTATAATTATTTTTCCTAGTATTAAACCCAGCTCTCCATCTTTCTCCATCAGAAAAGCACACTAACCTACATTGTCAAGTCAACAGAAGGAGGGTACTACACCTTAAAATTGCTAAGAAGTTACTTATATTTAGGTGACCCACAAACTCTTTTGCAGAGAAAGCAAGTAACAATAAGCACAGTGGGATAAACACCAGAAGTAAAAACTTAACAAACACGTATATGGATATAAAGGCACATGGCATCTGGACTAAGAAATCAGCCATACTCAAGAAGTGAATTTCCAAAACAAGTTGCTAATCAAGTAGCAGGAAATCAGGGAACAGCAGCAGAAATAAGGGGTAATTAACAAACTATCCATTTTTCCTCAATCAATCCTGCTTTAAAAAAAAAAGTTTGCATATATGACATTCTATTTCACTTCACAGACTACTATTCTTTCTAAAATACCCATTGTTCTTACATATGGAAGAGCCATACTGCTTCTAAAAATTATCTGAGGTGATACATATGTTGAATTCAGACTTTTGGACTGAATTCAGACTTACCTTGGAAGTGGCCCTACTCTTTACATGAAGAACACAAAGAAGTAATGATTCACAAACTTAAGCATTAAGTTGTAAAAAAGGAAAAAAGATAGCAGTTCAGTGATTTTAGACAATCTGAATTTTGAAATGACCATTTTGCAAAAAATTATGACTTAAAACACTGCCATCTCCATTATTTCCCTAGGGGATCAACAAAAGATCATATTTCTTCTATTAAAATTTTAAATTTTTATATGTTCTTTCTGTAAAATGCAGTGAACTACTCTAGTAGATAAACCTAACCACTTACCTACTGCCATACAACCCACAGTATATTGATGTAGTAAAAAGAAATCTTACCTGGCAGAAAACTGAACAAGAGCATACTGAAGAGCCTGCCTAATTTCCAGAAGAAAGGATTCATCATCACTTAGTGTGTAATACCAATACTGCACATAGTCTCTCAGGGAAAACTGGATTACCTGTAAATTGAAAAAAAAAAAAAAAAAAAAAAAAGAACTAATGAAAAAGGACAAAAGAAATATGACAAAAAACAACAGTTTTTTGTGCCTGATAACACGATAGCAGTTTTTCTAAAGGGTTACCAGAGTGAACAATACTCCTTTTCCATTATGAAACTGGGAGTGAAACCATAAAATTCACACACTGAAACTTCTTTTCAGACTGGTTTGCAAACACTGTTTTTATCACCACTACATTGTGAAAACAAAATATAACAAAAACTCAAATACTCAAATATTGCCCAATATCCTGGCCCATCTCCCATGGGTTTTTCATTTATCACTCTCATATATGGTAAAATTTTGAAATTCTATTTGTCACTCAACTACTTCTGTATTACATAGTCAATACTTTTAAAGTAATAAAGTAAAAAGTAATAAATAGTCCTGGTTAGAACTTACCTGTTGTAAAGGCTCATCAATTATATTCGCACCTGTCAGTCTTCTGTCAATCTTAATAGGTCTGGCTTCACGTTTCATTTCTTCTATGCACTTGAAAGAGATTGGGAAATGTAACGTTGTAGGCTTTAGCTCTAATTAAAAAACAGCTCTACTGCTTATGATATATATGTATACACCCACTAATGACTTTATATATTTTCTATATTATTATAATTCATAGAGAAGATATAATCATAGAATCAAACAATTAGTTGGCTTGGAAGGTCTAGTTCAACCCCTCCTGCAATGATCAGGGACATCTTGAGTGACGTCCGGTTGCTCAGAGCCCTGTTCAACCTCACCTGGAATGTTTCCAGGGACGGGGCCACCACCTCTGTTGGCAGCAATATTTTCTGTATTTTTCTCTATATAGTACATAATGACAACAAACTCCTGAAAACCTACTTCTTGCTAAATTTAGCAAGTGTTTGCTAAATTACTAAATCAGAAGGAAATAAAACTCAAAGGGTCAGGAAAGGAGGGAAAGGGGAGACACAACAACAGCACAAGGTAGTTTTTGTGCAAGGCTCCAGTTCCCCTCCTGCTTGTGAACTTGACTGTACAATCTCAGACAGATAATTTTCAGTTGGGTTTTTGGTTTCTTTACCCACCTCAGTTTATTCTATATGCCAGAAGAGAAATTACTTTATTTGTACCATTGCTACTCAACAGATGAGCCTTTGGAAAGTAATTGATGAGGAGGGAAAGAAATTACTTTATAGAAGGATTTGCATCTCAAAGCAGTTAAGGCCAAGAATGACCTCATCAGAGCTGACTTTTGGCAAGCGACATACCGAAGAACTCCCTTTATCAGTGCTTCTCTCAAGTGGACTAATGCAATGTCTTTCTACAAAATTTCAATGCAATCAGCAATAAACTCCTCTATTTTCACAGAAATAACAACCCAACAACTTACACTATAGTTCGAATAAGCCAGTAATTTCTTTGATCTAGAGAGAAAGTTATGACTATATTGGAAAAAAAAAAGAACTGCCAAAACCATAAATGAAGGAATTATAAACCATATATCCAAGGTTTTTATTCTATGTGAATAAAACTCGCCCTAAGTATGTCTCATTCCAATCAGTTAACAGTGAACGGCAGTGAAACACCTGAGGCCAGAAAAAAATCATCCTCCTATTAAAGCAACTCTGTATCACAACACAGAAATATTTTGTTGCAAAATTCTGTATATTTTTTAACTTTCAAGGCAAGCAAACCTTCAATGCTACTTTAATACAAATAACAATGAGGCACATTCAAACAATTAGCATATTCCACCAATGAATTTGCACTAATCCACTAATGAATTTGCAAAGTATTTTTGTTTTGATTGTGTCAAAACCACCAAAATTATGCAGAGCCAAATAAATAAACATTTTTATTAAGCACAGCATAGTACAAATTACCAGACAAAACTGTCAAAATAATCTTGAAGGACTGCATGCATAAAATCACATTTGGAAAACAGAGAGGAAAATACAGCAGTAAAAACAGCACAAGAAAGAGAGGCACAACAAAGAGAGTGACAGAGAATATTCAAGATTACTTGGTAAAAAATTTGAATGTTCATATGCTCACAGGATCCAGGTTTTGACCTGGATTTCAGAAATTCATCTTGTCCAACCTTCTGTTCAAAGCAGAGCCAACTACAAGATTAGACCATTTTTCATATTCTTTATCTACAGTGAAATCTTTATGCGCCTGCAGTATAATTTAATTTGCTTTTGATATGTCTGAAAATATCTAGATTTTAGAGTATGTGCTTTTATTCCATTATAGATACAACAGCTGACTCTAGTCTCACTTGGAAAGCACTTTCGGTTTTACTTCTGCCTTGCAGATGCTGACACCGAAGACAGACTTAAAGGAAGGACCCAACTCACATGACAACTGTCCCATTTGACTGTCACTTCACTCACAATTAATCTGATGCACTCTACCAGTATTAAATCATTGGTTAGGAAAAATGGGTATCACTTGTTATTATTACATTTGACACCTCTCCTCGCTTCATTTTAAGCAGGGAGGAATCACCTGGGAGGAACGCAAGAGACAGACTCCACAAAATGAGATGCAGCACAAACAAATCCAGGCTCCACAAGCATCTAACTGCACTGACTGAGTTATTTCAGACTTTTGTTTCACTGCACTAATGGGTATTTTTGAAGTCCTCTTTGACACTGGTAGCTAACTGTCAAGTATGAAATATGCCTCATTTAGACTACGCTATTTCCTCAATTGCAGGGTTTCATGAGAGAACAAGACACAGGGCATTTACACATCTGCCTCAAATCTGTGACATAGGATATGACCCACTGACTCAAAGAGACCCCAAGACTATGTAGGGATCCAACATACAACTACTGCTTGTGAGTTGTTATCACTATTTTCTTACTGTACTTTGGCAACATTGTACCAAGCCTACTCTTGGTCTTTTGGGTAAAGCTTAGAGACATCAACTATCATAACTAAACATTTCACACTTCTGTTGAAGTTGGGGTGAAACTGTAATTTCAACTGAAAGTAGCATTCAAGTTAACAGTTCAGAAGGTTATAAATTTACCTTTCACTCAACATTGTTTTAATACAAGCCTACAGACAACTGTATATCTTGCAGAGCCAGTTCATTATTGCATCACCCTGTAGGTTCATGACACAGAAGTTAGATGTGACTTGCAAAATGAAAAGCAAGTCTAAGCCTAATTTTTAAGCCTCCCTGTTTGTATGTAAGCAAACAAACAAACAAATTGTAGAAAGGTACACAATCTTCCATCAAATGTACCTTAAGTATTCTCCTTAATGTGAGGTATTCACTATATATTTGCTAGTAAGTATAACCTGCAGCAATCAAGGAAACCTATCAGCACCAGATCTGGTGTTCCAATGTATGGTACATTCTACACATTACACCCAGCCTCAACTTTGATGTTCTGTATTATTAGTAATTTCTGTAAAATCAAGCATTTGAACATTTATCCTAGACTAAAGAAAATCTCTAAGTACCAAAAATGCTCCAAAACTATCAACAAAACTCTGATGAAAAGAGCATCTTATAAAGAACCAATATCACCAGATTACTCCTCAGACTACCAGAAAACAAATTCATGTTCAGGTGAATTCAGCTTGTACTTGGCTCATGGAAAAAGTATAATCTATACACACCAGCCACTAGAAAGAATATTCATTCTTCAAGACCACTTAGGTCCAAAATGACTTTAAACATGAAATAAAATTCAAGTTAAAAACATTATTTTCCATACAAGTCAGCAATTTAATACAGAAATAGCAAATAGGAATCACAAAACAACATGTTTGGTTTTGGCTGCGACTCATCTCTACTAGCTACTGCAAAGCTTACCTACCCTTGTTAATGCTACTTTATTGCAGTGGCAAAAGAGAAAACACAATTGTAGAAGACAAAAAGATTTTATTTGGTGAACAAATTCAAATAGCATTTCATAAGTCAGCTAAAAACAAATATCTTTGTATTACAAAACTTAAATCCAGAGATTAGCTGAGACAGGTCAGTTGAGGAAAGTGCTGTGTCAATAGTCCCTACCCAAATCAGATGTCAAACTACTGAATTTGCAAAGAGTACACAAAAAACTCCACAAGACTTTACTCTTTGATACAGCAACCAGTACATACACACTGAACCCAAAATACAACATTAACATAAAAAAAAGTTTCAGCATGTAGAGGAAATCTAAAAAAACCAGAAAAACTTCTCTAAATCTGCTCCCAAAACACAGGACACTAAGTAACAACCTATGTAACAGAAGCACTAAAGTCTATGTAGCACCAAGAATCTTAGCCATCCAAAATGAGGTTTCATTAACAGAACAGAAACATTAACTGACTGCTGACTTTTCTTTTTTCAGCCTTAACCTTTGTACTTTTCATCTGGAGCAGTGACCTTACTTTAAAGTTTAGAGTATATTTTCAGATTTATTTTAAAATATTAAAAGACTTAAGCGAAAAGGCCACTCACCAAACTTTCCATAACTTATTAAAAACTTGTATTTCATAAAGGAAAAATATGTCATTTAATTTACACATTGCAGCTGACTCAAAAGATAAAAGCAGTCTCTTTTACCTTGAGAAATGGGCATAATTCTTACATTAAAACTGATTATTTCTAACCAAGTTATAAAATCTCATCTGTAAGTTAAGACCAGAAAACCTTCCTTACCTTAGGGATCCCAACCGATGTACAAGGGAGAAATGAATGTTCACACTGCTCAAGGTATTTTTCTGAATTGCTTTTTCCAAATAAAAGAGTAACCACAAAACCCCTAAAATGGAAAAACAAAGACCAGGTACAACAATAGCCACATTTTCTCACCTCTAGAAAATATTTAACAGAAAGTTATAAAATGACAAAACATGATAATCCTCACTGTTTACTCTTGTGCTTTTTCACACTGTAACATGCTTCTCAAAATAACTGACACAACCCTAAGTATGAAATTTCCCAGTCTTGTACTGTCTGTCTTGATATATTCTTACCACACAGAAGATCTGAGTAGCATTGTCTATGCTACAGTGTGCCTGCTGTGATGGCACACTGCCTGTGCTCACAAATATCAGCACTTGGGAAAAGGGGTACATACAGAAGTTGCTTTGCTTGCTTTTATATGAAGAGTCTCCAACATTATGGAGAAATAGACTCTGAAGGTTGCTCCACTGTAGTGTAAGCCACAAAACCACAGTCCAGGAATAAACTGATGCAGCAAGCATAACTAACCACTGCACATGTTTAGACATTGTGCTTACCCTTCTAGAACAGCAAGAATCTATTTACAGCTTATGACACTAGGGCACAAGAACACATGAACATCAAGCTGACTTTACTAAGAAATAGATGAAAACGTAGTGTCTGTCCCAATTCTAGCATAAGCACCTTTGAAATACCAAGCCAAGAAAAAAAGGAAATAGATTTATCTTGGGATGGCTAAACACACACAGTTTTTTACACAAATTTCAAAGCATTCCATTTAAAGGCCAGCTGACCAGTATTTGTGACCACAGGAACTTACAAAGCTATTCCAGGCCAGAAATGTGCTGAAGTAAAAGTTCTTTTAATATAGATTGCTGTTGATATATGATACTATCACTTAGAAGATTACAGAAAAAAATCCTATCCAAGCTAAAATATGCCATTTAAAGGTTTTAATTCCCAAAATTAAAAAAATTCTTTTTAAGTCTCCCAGAAGCCCAGTAATTCAGAAGCTCTGTCAATAATTCCATGAAAGAGGGAAAGAAAAAAAAGCTACTCAAATTATTATCAGTAACTTGACAATGTATAAAAGGAGTTCACTGGATACTCTAAATCCATTACAGCCATCCTTACCTGCCATATGACAGTAAGAAATAAAAGCAGGTTCAATTGCCCTCCTGCTCCCTGCAACTTTAAATTCATAACACCTATCAGAGTTCACAGACAAGAACTTGCTTAGAAAAATCACAGTATTAGTTTCATTAATGTTTTGGTTTGTTTTAAACTATTTAAGTTTGGATATTCTTTTGATTATCTGTGACTGCTATTAGAAACTTCAGTAGTATTTTAAAGAAAACAGTATACTCAAGTTTGGCCTAAAATCAACTTTAACTTCAAACACCTATCAGCCACTTCTCTTCTTTTATTCAAAAAGAATGACACCTTGGAAATAACTACCTATAGATTATATCTCTGTTTTCTCTCAAATATTTTAATACTTTTAAAGTTAATGACTCATTCAAAAATACTAATACCACCAATATGGTTTATAAAAGGCTGATCTTCTTAGATGCCTTGAAGTATTATCAGTTTTATGCTTGAAATGCTAGGAGCTGCTTCTTCTCTGGCAGAAACTAACACATTTTATTCTCTAATGTTTAATCTTGTGAGCATTAGAGAAGGATACATAGCCTAAACATACAGGACATCTGTTAGCTAATCTGAATCTCCTAGTGTAAATGCTTATTTAATTCATCAAGAGGATTTTCAATACATGAAAGAGAAATCTTCTGTAAATGAATAGACCAGAAAAAGGAAAAGACTGAATTTTGCTTTATTTAATTTTTTTTTCCAAAGATTACTGGATGGCCAGCTTTTTCAAGGGTAGATTAACAACAGAACAAAGGGGAAAGCTATAAAAAATGAAGACCACAGATTTATCACTTTCCCCTCAAGTCTGAAAAGTAACAGTCTCAGCTGAATGCTTTGTGAAAGTCAAAAAGCAGCTACAGAACCATTCCTGATTTGGTCAGCAGTTACAATCATTAACGGAGCCAGACAGTCACATACACATGGATGTAACTGAGTATCAATAATGATGGGATTTGATGACAGAGCAAATATTTTTAAATGGCAAAGCAATTGATTTCAAGAAATGTCAATTGAAATTTCCAAGAAATTTGTATTTTTATATTTGGCAAAACCACAATTCGCATCATTTTTATTTCACCTCCTTAGGGCTGAAAGAGGGAAGGAAAAAGATAGTAAACACTCTTAGTAGGAAAGGCAGATGGTAACAGACAGGCTCAGCACTCAGTTAAAGGGGTCTACACCAGTACTTGAATGAGAAGGAAAAAGAATACCACTCTGTAATACTCTACACAGGTTAAGTAAAGAGTATCTATCTTTAGCCTCCTGCTTTTGAGCTCAGTTCCCTAAGTGAATGATCACTGAATGGAAAAAGGCTAACATTTTATAAATCAGTCTCGAAACAAAACAAAATTAAAAATATAGAGAAATTGTGATTTTGAACTTTTACTCATATATACAAATGGTTTCAGTATTCTTCCATCTACACCAAAAACAACAGTACATTTACTACAAGTCATCTGTGCAATCACAGAGTTGAGTGCATATTAAAAAGAAATAACCAGCATATTATAGGAGTTAAACAGTATAAACAGATTGATTACATTGACACAGATACAGCATCACCATTGTCTTCCTGCACAGCTCACTGATATATTATTTAAGTGCTTCGGCCAATACTAAGACTGTGACCAGCTGTGATTCAGTATTTTCTTCTGTGGAAACTGCAAAATGAGACAGAAGCTGGACTTCTGGCTACTGGGAGTCAGAAAGCTTTGACACGGGCCACTTCTTTTTTGAACAAAATATAAAGACCTAGAAAGACTGTGTGAAATTCAAGTTTCAATAAAAAAATTCAATCACAAAAAACCCATATCCAAAATAGCTATTTTACTCCAGAGAAGTGTACAGTAAATATTATGGAAACCATTATAATCATAAACGAAAACTAAAGTTTTGTTTTCTAAATGTAAATATATGATGTTATGACATATAATTGCTAATTACAAGTGCAAAAATTATGAAGTAACAATTTCTGTTTGTTTCTTACAGAAGAATGACCAAGCATTTTGTGAAACTTCAGGGGAATTAATTAAACAAAAAAACCCCCCAAAACAAACAAACAAACAAACAAAAAAAAAAGCAGGCAAGAATAATTTAGATATAAACCCATTTGGCCTAGTTAGCACTCACAGTTCTGTGTGCTGAATGTTAAAGTAAGTGTGTCACTCTGAAAAAGATTAACATTGCAAAAAAGGGCCAGATCACAGCCACAGCCAAGATGTATATAATGAAGTAATGAAGTGATGACATTCTACTGCAAGGGCTTAGACTTTCCATCTATATACGTAAGTAAACACTCTGCTCCAACAGATACACTACCACTAGATGAATTTATCCTTAACAAGATCAATGTTTACTGACTAGCTACAAAAATGAATCAAAACAGCCCAATAACCACAGCAAAGAGATATGAGAGCTGACTTCAGAATGAAAATGCACCACATGCAGTTTAATGGTGCCAAACTGTGGCTGACTTCAGACATGCTCTGAGACCCTGCTTTGACTGTTAGCTTTGAAAAACCAAACAACTGAAACTGTGCAAGAATGAAGGATAATGTCTTTAGAAATTATTATATTCCATGTCATTTCCCAATACTGCAAGTACTAAAGAAGTGGAAAGACAAAACAGCAAGCAGATGCACTCTTGCCCTTTGGATAAACTCTGACTTTTGCCCTGGACAAACAGGTAACAAAATATGCAAACCGTACCTGTATGAAGACTTAACAAGATAAAAGTATTTCCTTCAAGTTAGTTTTACCTTAACTAAATCCTTTTTCTAACAGACTGGCTATTCTGATTTCTCAGAGATGAAATACCAAGCCTAATACAGTTGAAAACCAAGTGTAGCAGTTCTCATTCTAGCTACTACACTCTATTACATTTTTATGAGATATACAGGAATATACATACATTCTGTATGGTATCAAATAAGAAGGTAAAAAGAATATCCCACTAAGCCATTCTAACTTGCCATTAAAAATGTTTTAATGGTCACAAAAGCATTTTTGTGAATATAGGCAAATATAATATACAATGTAATAATGGTGCTAAGCTTCACATTTGCTCCTTTCCTGCCTATATAGATAACATAAGAAAAGTCTACAGCTGATGAACTGATCTACTTGTTCAAAGTGTAGCACTATTTCCACACACACAGGACAACATCCATTCCCATTAATCAAGTGTCTTAGATAGGAAAATGAGATTGTGATAGTAAAGGAAACGTAAGTACACAGAAGTACCTGGGAAAAGAACTGACACTAATAAAAAGTACGAACTGAATTTACCACTGTTTTTATGTGAGCATTTGTCCTCTAACATCCACTAAAAATGGCTAAATTGGGATTTCAATTACAAAAATTTCGCTCATAAAGAGGTGCTCAAATGGGGAAACATTAATTACATAAAGCCACTTCAGATGTTCAGAGCAAGCTCTTTGCTAACACACGCATTAAAATTTTACTTTCACAGCAAATTAAACAAAACACTAAGTAATATACTTACCCACCCACAAAGCAGAGGATATAAAATGCAAAGTAAAATATAGCGAAGGGTCCAAAAGTTACTAGAAAAAGCACAAGGCCAAGACTTCCCCATCCCCATATGGAAAGACTGGTCTGTAAACAAGAACATACAGAAAAGCAATAATTAATATTATATTCATACAACTTTAATAAGTACAAGTAATACTTGTACTTTCTATAATGTTTGATACATTTTAACCAGATACAAGCTTTGTTTGATGAAACAAAAAATTACCCTTGTTTTTAAGAGTATATTGCTATCAAATATGTCCCCCATTATACTGTGGGCCACTAATCCAGCTTAGCCAACATTAGAGCATTTTTCTTTCAAATACTGTTCCTTATCTCTTATTTCAGATAAAACTATCATCCTTTAAGGTGCCACCTTTTTCTTTTCTATTCTCCTTTAGTGCATTTTTTTTCTTGAGATCTCTTCCTCCTCACTTCTTCCCCTATCCCCACCGTGAGAAAAGTTCTCCACCATCTCCTAGGAAAAAGCAGACTTTGTGACAGAACAGGAAGAGACAATACAGCTTTGTTTTATACATCTAAACATGTTATTTTCTACAACCAAGCAATACTGTTTCCTCCCTAGATCAAACAAGGTGCAAGACTAAAAAGGCATCCCTTTTTCCAGTCGAGCCACAGGCGGGTCAATGAGTGCACCAAATAACTGGCACAAGTATACTTTTCCACATAAATCAAAGGGAGGGAAACCTCAGCAACTGATACCTGGGCAGTGGAAGGGAGGCAAGGGTTGTTTGAAACGCCCATGAAGAAGTTAAAGTCAGAGCACATGTGGGACTGGTGGGATTTTGGGGGTTGATGTCTGGCATAAATGCAGCAGGCAAAACTCCACCTGCACTGGCAGCCACCAGGAGTACAAAAAAGCAGCGAGATTCCAGTTACAGGTTATAGTGTGACTGCATTTACATATACCCATTATACACACATACTTGATCTATCTATACAGACAGATGTGTGCCTGTACATACCTGTACATACATGCATGGTCATCTAAAAAATCAAGGCAGTGAAAACATGACTGATCTGAGTGACAACAGTTTTTAGACCATCACAATGCTGCAATGCAGTCAACAAAGCTTATATAAATTTAATTCAATCTAGTCTCTAGTTCAATATGGAAAGCATGCTTCAGCCAAGACCCAAGAGTGTGAAACACAACGATGACAAGTATTTATAGGCCACCCAAACTGTTCCAGCTCTAAGGTTCTCAAAATTTTTTTCTTGGTTGCTGCTGTTGTCTAATTTACACCTTTCCTAACAGTGATCAAATGACACCCTGATGGGAACCCAGAAAACTGTGTCAACAAGTAACACTAAGAAAGTATTCAAATAAACTCGTCTTGCAGTTTGACATTTAGAAAACAAACAGAGTTTGAACACCAGATTTGCAGAGAGCCCTTTTTTAGCTTTTAATATGAAGGAGCTACAACTCATTTCTCTCAAGGAACTATTTAGATTTCATCTTTTAATTTTAGGCATAGGATTAAAAAAAAATCAACTTTTTTTGAAAAAGTTTTTAAAATCCTATAGAGAATGAAAAAGAATATAAATTAAGGCTCCTATATAAAGCAGCTTTGATTATTTTTTGAGAGCAAGATCAAAAAGCAAAAGCACAGCTCTGAGGAGACTTTCACAGATCTAAACTGTAATAATCAGAATTATTTAATTCTTCCTAGTTGAAAGTTTAAACCTTATGATGAAATTCTATTTTCTTCCTAGCTGAACTTTCCTAGCAGGAGATACGAGTTGTACTGGCTTTGTTCTGAGTGTTTGAGGCTGGGAAAAATTAAACATACAAGTATGTAGATAAGCGTAATTAAAGTGCAGCAATTAAAAAAATGCATTGCAAGTTATTAAATTCTCTTTAAGTTGAGGAATTGCTTCAATAGATAATATAAACCACAAAATCCACACTACTAAAATCACAACCGAGTAGAAGATTTTGTTGTTTTGTTGATTGATATTAAGTAAGTGCAGTAGATAATTGTGGCTTCCAGTTCATGAAGAGAGCCCATAAGAAAGAAAGAAACTATTCACAATGTAGTGACAGAACAAGGGGGAATGGCTTCAAACAGAGACTAAATTTAGGTTAGATATAAGGTGATGGTGAGCACTGCTGAGTGCACTCTGGGCTGAGGCTGCCCAGAGAAGCTGTGGATGCCCCAACCCTGACAGTGTTCAAGGCCAGGCTGCTTGGGGCATTGAGCAACCTGGTCTAGCAGAAAGTATTCCTGCTACATGGTGGGGGTGTTGGAACTACATGATCTTTAAGGTCCTTCCCAACCCAAACCATTCTAGGACACACTTTTTTCTAATTGAAAAAAAAGAAACAAAAAACCATGGCAAATGCAAGAATTAACTAAAACATGAGCCCCCACTGCACTCTACATTCAATACAAAAAGAAGATTCAGCATATTCATATCCTCAGAAACACATTTTAAAACTTCTGCAGAGCATTACAAGCATGATAAAGAAGATATGCACACAGAAGACAGCATTTAATGATGGTCTTTTTATGTCAAAAACCCATTATGCTTAATCGCATCATTCCAAAAAGTTTAAGTTCTAAATATGGGATAAGCACACTAAATGACTTAATTAAACTAGATGGATGTATAGTCAGAGTTGGATGAATGCATAATTAACAAAGAAAGCTCTATAACTCTAATAAATAAAACAGTGACCTTTTGTCCTATGCTCCAGTTTTGCAATTTAGCATACGGGTACAGAGATTCAAATCTCATGTGGTATTTTAATAGGATTTCTTAAAAATCGTACAACTTGGTACACTGCAGGAAGCACAACAGATACTGGCCCAATTCTCGTATATTCTAATGAGTGCTTTATAATCTTAAGGATTTTGAGACATTCAAAGGGATTAAATCATCAGGATGGTACCCTTTCTGCTGACTGTAAACAAAACTTTCCCTGACTCCACACTTCTTGAAGGGACTTCAGCAGTAAGACTCCTAGGGAAAAAAAATGAAAACTTAGAAGTTCTTTATACATAAAACCCAACTGTTTTTGAATAAAATGGTACACAGATGTGACTATACAGCTGGTCAGTATGAAAATAGTTCAGGTATTCCAACTCGAACTTCACTTACAGCTTATTTCCAAATTCTATTTATAATGTTAATTTTTAGAAGATTTACAGATTTAGTGAAGCTCTGTTAGTCATACTAAAGTTGGTTGCAGGGTGAATGCTTACCACCCCTGACACAAAGAACAAACCAGTCTTCTGAAGAAATGGTGTGATTGCTGGTGCTTAAGTCACAGCTATCCAGACCCTTTAAAAGAAGCCGACCTGCCCTATATCGGCAGGGCAAACTTCCAAGCTGACCTGGCACAGTGCTGTTCACTGACTTTCAAGGAATTAGGGACAGTTACCTAAAGCCTGAAGAGATACACAGGCCTTAGTGCTGTGGTAGGCATGGTGGGTTATATACTGTGTGCATACACATGGGTAAAGGATGTTTATTCCATGTCAGCAGCTGCTCCACTTCATCAGTTTTAGCCACCACTACAGATACTCTATGTTTGTCTCACCATCATCACTTCCTAGTTTTCAAGTTTAAGAATTTGCAAAGACTTCTGCACAATATTACCAAGGCCATATATATATATATATATATATATATATATAAAATGGGTTAACGCAGCATTGTGGTCACACACAGTAACTTCCTTTCCACAGTTGGAGTTGCTTCAGCAAAACAAACTGCAGTTGAAGTACAGGGGTGTCTGTAAGCTCCAACAGTACACTGCAGAGGCTCATCAGGTGTCAGAAAACATAAAAAGGTGAAAACTCATATGTGCTTGATTCAGCTTTTACAGCTAAAAAACCAGGCACCTCAATGACATCTGCTTGTTGGTTTTTTTTAACTAGGTTTTGTTCATTTTTCACATTGAATGTTTTTTCCACAGTATACAGCCAAGTACTAAAAGCAGTACATAAAGAATTTGCTTTCTTATGCATATTTTCTTTTTCTTTCTTTAGTTTATGCTTCCTAATCAAGGCAATATTTTGATAGTTAAAGCTGCACGCCATTATGGCTAGTAGTGCTGAGCTAAGCCTGATTACATCACTTAACATGACTACTCAAACAGAAGTTTCTAGAAATTATTTATTCCAGAAACAAACAAAATTATGTCTTACTAAAAAGTGCCTTCAACAGGTTTCTTATTTGTTTAATCCATTTGACAATCTTTCAGACCTTTGCCCCTCACCCATTTTTGAGCGAGATCTTCGGTCTTGACACATCTTCCTCTAGAAATGATTCACCAAGGTAATGTAAATTTGTTGTTTGGATTTGAGCTAGCGCTGTCAACTTTAGCTTGCAAGTGGCAGTGCTACCTTAGGCTTAGGGCAAAACAAGTGTTACTCCACAAGTGCAGATGACAGGGTCTTCCTAGCCCCCTCTGCCACTGAACAGAGGACAAGCATTTCCACTCATGCAGCTCTGGGTGCCACCACGCTCCTACTCCAGTGAGAAGCTCCTGTTCCAGGCACTTGTCTCTCGTCACAATTCCCACACACATTGGGTGGGAATTGTGGCTTCAAGTTTGGAGACACAGTTCAAATGCCATACAAGAAGGCCGGGCTCTGGAATCATCTGCTTGTCAATCTTATTAAAGCTGAGGCAGAAGACAATTTAAATCTTACATCGGCATCCAAAAGACTGATTCCACCTTGGAAGATTATAATTTGTGATTGTTTTCACATTTAATGGTCACAACAGAACAATGTGAGCTTTTAAAGAACAGCAACATTTTAAAACAAAAACATGTTTCTTTGCTCACAATTCTTTCACTCTTGTTGATCAAATTACATTTTTCCATTAATATTTTAAAAGTTACAGTAACTGGCCTGTTTGTAACAGACACTGTAAACTATCTTTTGCCGTTTGGGTAGTTTAAATGATCTGGGGTTGTTTCTTTTTCATGCCTCTTCTGGGCTCACATTAAAAAAATTGTCAGGGATTGCATTTACAGTAGATGTCAAGTTTAATTTTGTTAATTCCACACATCTGCCTTTTAATTTGACTTCCATTTTGAGTGCAAA